CCGCTCCGGGCGCTTTGCGCCTAGGTAGGCGCTCGATGATGCGCCTTACCTCGCCGGGCGAAACGAATTTAATCTCCGTTAAGTCCGGCGTCGGAGCGGTGTGAAACTCGCCCACGCGACGTACAACGCGCTCATGGTGCTCGACGACAGTGCTGGGTGCGTCGGCGGCTACCGGATTGGCAGTGAACTGCCCCTCCAGGTGGTTGGCCAGGATTTCTGCCCGGTCAATGGCTGCGTAACGACGTCTGCCCGTTTCATCGAACAACGGACAGACGGGGGGTCGTGCCTTAGTGAGCTGTCGGTTAAGGGCGTACAGGGTGAACTGGTGTTCACCCGCGTGGGAGATGACACCCTCCCACGAGGAGCCACGCCAGTCGCGGACTCCTTCCGACAGCTCCGCAGCGAGACAGTTAAGCTCACGCTTGACCCGTGGACAACGGGTGCGGGCCCATAGGCGGCGGAGTGCTCTTTTGCGCGACAACTTATCACTCAAGTGTGCCGGCAATTCGACTCGGCGGCGAGCTGCCGAGTGTATGGTAGTTGTGGCCGCCTCTAGGGCGCTTTGAATGCGCTCCTGTATATCGATAGAGGCGGCCTCTATTCCCTCAGGCGTGGAAAAGTCGCCGTCGAGAGGAATGTGCTGGAGGCTTGAGCGATAAGCCGTCCAGTTAGTACTCCGCCGCTCCGACCTGTGCGATGCGGTGATGACCGCACCTAGGTCAAGCGTGGCTAAAACTGGGAGGTGTTGTGTGTCCAAGTCGTACAACACCTCCATATTGACCGGGCAGAGCACTCTATGTACGAGTGCTATGTCCAGAACGTCTGGATAGTGTCTACGATTCGTGGGAATGTGTGTTGGGTGTGCGGGTCCCAACACTTCGTAGCCGTGACTATCTGCGTCACGGAGGAGTCTAGTACCCACAGGCGATGTCACCCGGCTTCCCCAAGTCGGGTGTTTGGCGTTAAGATCGCCCATGAGTAATGTGGGACTCCTACCGTCCAGTACGTTCCGGACATCGGAGGGGCAGAATTCTCTGACCGGGGGGCGATAGGCGGCATATACTCTCAGTTCCGCGCCGTCGATGTTAATGCTCACTCCAATGGAGCGCATGACGCGGAACTCGGGGAGCGCCAACTGCATGTGTACGATGTCGCGGCGGACCAGTACAGCGGTGCCACGGTATGCCGTACCGGCCGGGGACCGCTCGTCCCGTCTGTACACAAAGTAGTTGGGCACCCGCAACGTCTCCTTGGGAGCCAACTTGGTCTCCCCCAGGAGTATGATATGCACATCCTGGGTTTGAGCAAGGAGACGGAGGCCTTGTACCTTATCCTTTATCCCCCCGGGGTTCCAGTACAGGACGCGGAGAGAATTACTCCGCGACTCTGTACTGGCTAATTTTGGCCAATCCGGCGAGAGCCGCCGACTTTATGTCCTCACCGGCCGCTAGGGCCGTTAGGAGATCAGTAAGGAGCCCTATTATTAATGTTAGGGCTCCATTGTCTGTTATCGTAGGCAAATCGCGCGTCTGTTGTGAACGTAGTGGTTGGGAGGCCGTCTGGGCCGACCGCCACGGCGGTTTACTCGAGTAGCGTGGGGCGGCACTCAAAGACGGCCACGCCTCCTGTCGCTCGTTCACTACGTTTTGCGCCATCTGGCGGCGAGCGGACGAAACCGGTACTGAAGCGACTGTCGGTAATGCAGTCCCTCGCCGCGCAGATGTTTGGAACGGCTGAGTCGGGGGGAATAAGTCCCCGTTGTTCGAACGCGGCGCGGCCGCGGGTTTGCGTCGGCGGGGCGACCTCCTCAAACGGCGTCGATGTAACCGCGTTTTGCTCGCGGTTACGACGCCTCCTGCCGGCCCTGTTGCGCCTTTTGCGCTTGGGCGCCTCACCACGATTAGTGGGTGGGTTTGCCGGGGCCATGAGTGTGCCCCGGGACGACATCGTCGGTGGGACGACTGTCACCGGCACCGGTGCCAGCGGTCGGAAAGTTCGCTGCGGCACCGGTGCGCGTGTGGGAAGTTGCGCCTGAGTCGGCGCCGACTGTGCGGGCGCTCTTGCGCGTCTGTTGGCGCCGGGGGCGCGCGTCGGAGCAGCGGGGGCGGCAGGGCGGGTTTGGATCCCCCTGCGGCGCGCCTCTCTCTTGTAGACCGCACACCGTCTATCGTTGGCGGTGTGCGGCTTGGCGCAATTTGCACAGGTAGGCTTTTGGTCGCGCGGCCGGTCGCAGTCAGCGGCCGCGTGTTCACCGGCGCATCGGACACATTTGATGAGCCGGTGACAGTTGGCCGATGAATGGCCGAATCCCTGGCACCTGTGACATTGTGCCAGGGAGGAAGTTGAGGGCCGCCAGCCCTCGATTGTGACGCCACGCATGAATAAAAGTTCATGCGTGGCATAAAGACGATCCAGCTCGTCCTTGCTCAAGGGATCGAGCTGGGCGTGGAATACGCAGCCTGGGCGGCCGCGGCGGGCCGGTATACCCCGCACTAGGCGGACGGGGTACCCAATTTTTTCGAGGGCGTCCGCTACCGCGTCCGAAGTGGTGTCGGACGGGAGACCTCGTATTGCCACCTTTGTGGGGAGCTCGGAGGCCAGGCTATAGCAATACCAGCTGATTGCTGGGTCAGCTGCGCCGGCCTCGGTTAGGTATTTTTGTACAAGACGGAACTCCTTGTCCGTCTTGCACAGGAATCGGACGCCCTTGCCGTAGGGGCGGGCGTTGGGCGGCTCACCCAGTGCGCGGGTGAGTGCGGCGAAGTGGTCTGTCCACCGCGGCAGACATTCCACGATAATGGGCGGGTATTTGCCCTGCCCAGGCTGCTTATGGTCGGTTGCCACCTTTGTGGTAGCGGGAGGCGTCGGTGGGCGCGGAGCGGGAGCGGCCGCGGCCGCGTCCGCGAATGATTTCGTGGGGGACAATGTCCCCACGGAGCGGACCTGCACGTCAACACTCTCCAGTGCGACGTACGAGGTCTCGTCATCCTTGTTGGGATGACCCAAGGCGCCTAAGGCGTCGAAATCCATAACTCGCTCGTCCTCGCTGTCGATAGAGCGGGCAGGCGAGGGCGAGCGGGGGGGTGTGGCGCGCCGTGTATGCGGGCGCGCCTCGCACGGCGCGTTCACCGAGCGAGACGATCGGTCGGTGTGGCGCGGTGCGGGAGCGAGACGGGGCGACGGCGGTGAGTCGCCTGCGTCTAGCCGCTTCTCTGAAGGTGTTCCCGAGAGAGCGGGCGATGGTGGTGTGCGGCGTTTGGCGGCCGTAGACGGCATGGCGCCAGACCGATCGCCGCTCGGCTCGGCGCGTTCCCCTTCCGCAGCAACAATGTTGCGGTTGGCGAGCGCTAACCTAGCCTCACGGCGGGTGTGAAACGGTCCCAGATCTGTCTCTGGGACCGGTCGGCTACTGCCTGCCTGCCTCGGCACGGCTTGCCGCTGTGGCAGTGGCGCCGGCGCCCTAGGCGCCGACGCGGAAGGAGTGCGGGTCGGCCGTTTGGCCGACTCAAAAGGTTTGCGGGGGGGTTTCCCCTCGCGCTCAGACATTGTTGTCGGTGATGGTAATGGTGATGATGATGATGGTGATGTTGTCCCTACGGTCCCTAACTAGTAGCCCACGAAGGGCGAAGGGGTCGCTGGACCGACGCCGCCCAAGTGGGGACTCAGGCGGTGCCCTCAGTCTCGCCGTGGGTGCACTTGTTCTCCCCGTGAGACGACACCCTACGGTTTGAAAGAGGGGGGTGTGGGGGTTGGAACCCCACGAACGATCCCTACTATGCTGGCGGGGGGGGGTGGAGTCGACACGGCCGGGAAGACCGTGCTCTCGACCGTTACCGTGAGTGCACTTGTCCTCCCCGTGAGGCGACACTCTCCGGAACGGCCGAGAGGGGTGCGGGGGGACAGAACCCCCGCGACGACCTACGGTCCCTAACCCTACGACTCGACCGTGCCCTGGCGTGTAGCACACAGGTGCCTACACTGGTGCACCCAGGTGCACGGACTATCTCCCCGTCGGCTTGTAGCCCTCAGAAGGGCTGACGGCCTCGAGTTCGTCCTGAAAAGGACGTCCTACTCTGCGGCGGCGGCACGAAGACACGGAGCACGAAGCTCGCGGCCACATGTAGGAGGAATCCGACTGTACAATCTTACGATTGCACAGTTGATTCCTCGGCGGTGAGCTGTAGCGGCGGCTGTGGCGTCCCACGGCGCTCGGCGGCAGCTCTGGAGGGCTCTCGAAGGCGCAGGAGTCACGACGTGCTGGGGAAGACGCTACTCGGAGTCTCGACGGTCGCCCGGAGTACTCACGAGAAGGATCACGCACGAACACGACGGTCTCACTGCAGGCACGGGAGCTCTCTGCCGCTCGACGGGAGGCGGCCTATCTTTATACCCGCCCGCTCGCACGTTAACATTTCTAACTCGCGTTAGCGAATCTGTGCGAGCGGGACGGGGCGAGAATGAACGAGACGCGTGTCTCTTCAGATCGGTACCCTATAGCGTCTATTTATTTATTACAATTTACAATTTCTTATTTGTTTTTACAATTTCTATTCCTATCCGCAGGTAATAATGATAACACACAAAGGAATACTTTATTTAACTTACACTATAGGTATCTTAAATCTATGTAAAATCTATATAAAATAACAGTATACAAAAACGATTAAACTAGGGACTTAACAACTATAAATTACGATTACATATATACAAATAATGTCGCAAACAGAAGGATACCAAATTTTTGTGATGTTTGGTTAAGTCACTAAGACGCGAAGAGATAATAAATAAACTAACTTTCACATTTATAATACTAGCTGTACCCCGCGATTTTACGTGTGTAGCATGTTTCGTATAAATTCGTTTAGTAGTTTTTGTGTGAGAGAAGGTCTATCCATATATTCTTTACAGGTTTTCGCAGTTAGTAGTAGAATTAATAAGGAAATAAAAATAATCCTTAATTTCGAGTCCGATCCATTTACAAAACAATTAAAAAAATTCAGGTGGAAGCAGAATGTTCTGGTCTTCAACAACAAGTGGAGGTGCGGGAAGTGAGTAGTCGGGCTGCAGCCTTGGGCGCGCGGCTTGGCGACGCGGCCGCTCTCGCCGAGCCCAGGGAAAACGCGTTCCTCGCCGTGGACTTCGCTCACAACGATGCACAGCAAAGGTTCTCGGAGTCATTAATGGACTTGGGCAGAGTTCGAACTAGCACCACATTCCCTGGTCTTTGTACTTTACAGTTAGGTAAGTTTATACAGTTATTTATTAATATCAATATAATAAAAAAAAAATCTCTAGTACCTTTGACTTAGTAGAGGAATGAAGGTGGCAAACAAGTATATATAGTCTATCTGGTGGTAAACGGTCACTGTTAGAGAGAGCTCCCGTGCCTGCAGTGAGACCGTCGTGTTCGTGCGTGATCCTTCTCGTGAGTACTCCGGGCGACCGTCGAGACTCCGAGTAGCGTCTTCCCCAGCACGTCGTGACTCCTGCGCCTTCGAGAGCCCTCCAGAGCTGCCGCCGAGCGCCGTGGGACGCCACAGCCGCCGCTACAGCTCACCGCCGAGGAATCAACTGTGCAATCGTAAGATTGTACAGTCGGATTCCTCCTACACGTGCCCGCGAGCTTCGTGCTCCGTGTCTTCGTGCCGCCGCCGCAGAGTAGGACGTCCTTTTCAGGACGAACTCGAGGCCGTCAGCCCTTCTGAGGGCTACAAGCCGACGGGGAAATAGTCCGTGCACCTGGGTGCACCAGTGTAGGCACCCGTGTGCTACACGCCAGGGCACGGTCGAGGCGTAGGGCTAGGGACCGTAGGTCGTCGCGGGGGTTCTGTCCCCCCGCACCCCTCTCGGCCGTTCCGGAGAGTGTCGCCTCACGGGGAGGACAAGTGCACTCACGGTAACGGTCGAGAGCACGGTCTTCCCGGCCGTGTCGACTCCACCCCCCCCCCCCCCCCCCCCCCCCCCCCCCTCCAGCATAGTAGGGATCGTTCGTGGGGTTCCAACCCCCACACCCCCCTCTTTCAAACCGTAGGGTGTCGTCTCACGGGGAGAACAAGTGCACCCACGGCGAGACTGAGGGCACCGCCTGAGTCCCCACTTGGGCGGCGTCGGTCCAGCGACCCCTTCGCCCTTCGTGGGCTACTAGTTAGGGACCGTAGGGACATCATCGCCATCATCATCATCACCATCACCGACAGCAATGTCTGAGCGCGAGGGGAAACCCCCCCGCAAACCTTTTGAGTCGGCCAAACGGCCGACCCGCACTCCTTCCGCGTCGGCGCCTAGGGCGCCGGCGCCACTGCCACAGCGGCAAGCCGTGCCGAGGCAGGCAGGCAGTAGCCGACCGGTCCCAGAGACAGATCTGGGACCGTTTCACACCCGCCGTGAGGCTAGGTTAGCGCTCGCCAACCGCAACATTGTTGCTGCGGAAGGGGAACGCGCCGAGCCGAGCGGCAACTTGTCTGGCGCCACGCCGTCTACGGCCGCCAAACGCCGCACACCACCATCGCCCGCTCTCTCGGGAACACCATCTGAGAAGCGGCTAGACGCAGGCGACTCACCGCCGTCGCCCCGTCTCGCTCCCGCACCGCGCCACACCGACCGACCGTCTCGCTCGGTGAACGCGCCGTGCGAGGCGCGCCCGCATACACGGCGCGCCACACCCCCCCGCTCGCCCTCGCCTGCCCGCTCTATCGACAGCGAGGACGAGCGAGTTATGGATTTCGACGCCTTAGGCGCATTGGGTCATCCCAATAAGGATGACGAGACCTCGTACGTCGCACTGGAGAGTGTCGACGTACAGGTCCGCTCCGTGGGGACATTGTCCCCCACGAAATCATTCGCGGACGCGGCCGCGGCCGCTCCCGCTCCGCGCCCACCGACGCCTCACGCTACCACAAAGGTGGCAACCGACCACAAGCAGCCTGGGCAGGGCAAATACCCGCCCATCATTGTGGAATGTCTGCCGCGGTGGACAGACCACTTCGCCGCACTCACCCGCGCACTGGGTGAGCCGCCCAACGCCCGCCCCTACGGCAAGGGCGTTCGATTCCTGTGCAAGACGGACAAGGAGTTCCGTCTTGTACAAAAATACCTAACCGAGGCCGGCGCAGCTGACCCAGCAATCAGCTGGTATTGCTATAGCCTGGCCTCCGAGCTCCCCACAAAGGTGGCTATAAGAGGTCTCCCGTCCGACACCACTTCGGACACGGTAGCGGACGCCCTCGAGAAAATTGGGTACCCCGTCCGCCTAGTGCGGGGTATACCGGCCCGCCGCGGCCGCCCAGGCTGCGTATTCCACGCCCAGCTCGATCCCTTGAGCAAGGACGAGCTGGAACGACTTTATGCCACGCATGAACTGTTATTCATGCGTGGCGTCACAATCGAGGGCTGGCGGCCCTCAACTTCCTCTCTGGCACAATGTCACAGGTGCCAGGGATTCGGCCATTCATCGGCCAACTGTCACCGGCTCATCAAATGTGTCCGATGCGCCGGTGAACACGCGGCCGCTGACTGCGACCGGCCGCGCGACCAAAAGCCTACCTGTGCAAATTGCGCCAAGCCGCACACCGCCAACGATAGACGGTGTGCGGTTTACAAGAGAGAGGCGCGCCGCAGGGGGCTCCAAACCCGCCCTGCCGCCCCCGCTGCTCCGACGCGCGCCCCCGGCGCCAACAGACGCGCAAGAGCGCCCGCACAGTCGGCGCCGACTCAGGCGCAACTTCCCACACGCGCACCGGTGCCGCAGCGAACTTTCCGACCGCTGGCACCGGTGCCGGTGACAGTCGTCCCACCGACGATGTCGTCCCGGGGCACACTCATGGCCCCGGCAAACCCACCCACTAATCGTGGTGAGGCGCCCAAGCGCAAAAGGCGCAACAGGGCCGGCAGGAGGCGTCGTAACCGCGAGCAAAACGCGGTTACATCGACGCCGTTTGAGGAGGTCGCCCCGCCGACGCAAACCCGCGGCCGCCCCGCGTTCGAACAACGGGGAATTATTCCCCCACCGACTCAACAGTTCCAAACATCTGCGCGGCGAGGGACTGCATTACCGACAGTCACTTCTGTACCGGTTTCGTCCGCTCGCCGCCAGATGGCGCAAAACGTAGTGAGCGAGCGACAGGAGGCGTGGCCGTCTTTGAGTGCCGCCCCACGCTACTCGAGTAAACCGTCGTGGCGGTCGGCCCAGACGGCCTCCCAACAACCACTACGTTCACTACGTTCACAACAGACGCGCGACTTGCCTTTAATAACTGACAATGGAGCCCTAACATTAATAATAGGGCTCCTTACTGATCTCCTAACGGCCCTAGCGGCCGGTGAGGACATTAAGTCGGCGGCTCTCGCCGGATTGGCCAAAATTAGCCAGTACAGAGTCGCGGAGTAATTCTCTCCGCGTCCTGTACTGGAACCCCCGGGGGATAAAGGATAAGGTACAAGGCCTCCGTCTCCTTGCTCAAACCCAGGATGTGCACATCATACTCCTGGGGGAGACCAAGTTGGCTCCCAAGGAGACGTTGCGGGTGCCCAACTACTTTGTGTACAGACGGGACGAGCGGTCCCCGGCCGGTACGGCATACCGCGGCACCGCTGTACTGGTCCGCCGCGACATCGTACACATGCAGTTGGCGCTCCCCGAGTTCCGCGTCATGCGCTCCATAGGAGCGAGCATTAACATCGACGGCGCGGAACTGAGAATATATGCCGCCTATCGCCCCCCGGTCAGAGAATTCTGCCCCTCCGATGTCCGGAACGTACTGGAAGGTAGGAGTCCCACATTACTCATGGGCGATCTTAACGCCAAACACCCGACTTGGGGAAGCCGGGTGACATCGCCTGTGGGTACTAGACTCCTCCGTGACGCAGATAGTCACGGCTACGAAGTGTTGGGACCCGCACACCCAACACACATTCCCACGAATCGTAGACACTATCCAGACGTTCTGGACATAGCACTCGTACATAGAGTGCTCTGCCCGGTCAATATGGAGGTGTTGTACGACTTGGACACACAACACCTCCCAGTTTTAGCCACGCTTGACCTAGGTGCGGTCATCACCGCATCGCACAGGTCGGAGCGGCGGAGTACTAACTGGACGGCTTATCGCTCAAGCCTCCAGCACATTCCTCTCGACGGCGACTTTTCCACGCCTGAGGGAATAGAGGCCGCCTCTATCGATATACAGGAGCGCATTCAAAGCGCCCTAGAGGCGGCCACAACTACCATACACTCGGCAGCTCGCCGCCGAGTCGAATTGCCGGCACACTTGAGTGATAAGTTGTCGCGCAAAAGAGCACTCCGCCGCCTATGGGCCCGCACCCGTTGTCCACGGGTCAAGCGTGAGCTTAACTGTCTCGCTGCGGAGCTGTCGGAAGGAGTCCGCGACTGGCGTGGCTCCTCGTGGGAGGGTGTCATCTCCCACGCGGGTGAACACCAGTTCACCCTGTACGCCCTTAACCGACAGCTCACTAAGGCACGACCCCCGTCTGTCCGTTGTTCGATGAAACGGGCAGACGTCGTTACGCAGCCATTGACCGGGCAGAAATCCTGGCCAACCACCTGGAGGGGCAGTTCACTGCCAATCCGGTAGCCGCCGACGCACCCAGCACTGTCGTCGAGCACCATGAGCGCGTTGTACGTCGCGTGGGCGAGTTTCACACCGCTCCGACGCCAGACTTAACGGAGATTAAATTCGTTTCGCCCGGCGAGGTAAGGCGCATCATCGAGCGCCTACCTAGGCGCAAAGCGCCCGGAGCGGACAAAATACCCACACCTGCACTCGCCCAGCTGCCCCGTAGAGCATTAGTATTTATTACTAAGCTCTACAACGGTATACTCCGGACCGGCCACTTTCCATCAAATTGGAAACTCGGCCGAGTCATCGCCCTCCCGAAAGCCGGGAAAGACAAACGTTTCCCGGCCAGTTACCGGCCGATAACACTCCTCCCGCACGTAGCGAAGACCTTTGAGCGCGCGCTGCTCCGCCGGCTGTACCCGTACGTCACTCCACGGGACGAGCAGTTCGGTTTTAGGGGCGGCCACTCAACCACGCTCCAACTTGCGCGCGTGCTGCATCATATGGCCGTCGAGCATAACCGCGGTCGACGCGTAGTCGGTGTTTTTCTCGATATAGAGAAAGCGTTCGACCGCGTGTGGCACGACGGCCTAGTGTACAAACTATTGATGCACACTAGCACGCCGCAAGCCTACGTGCGGGTAATCGATAATTTCTTACGAGGCCGGAACTTTTACGTTTCGGTAGAGGGCGTGGACTCAGCCGTCCACCCAATCGCCGCCGGAGTGCCGCAGGGCAGCTGCATTTCCCCAGCGCTATACGCGACGTACACGGACGACATTCCCACCTTGAGGGATGAGCTCCTCGAGGGAGAGAGCGATGTCGTCCTAGCTCTATTTGCCGACGACAGTGCATACTTCATGTCGTCGACCAACGCCAACTACGCTGCACGCAGAATGCAGCGTCTGTTGAACCGCCTGCCAGAGTGGCTCGATAAGTGGCGCACCTCCGTTAATGTGGGGAAAACGGTCGCGCTACTGACTCGAAGCCGCTCACATCATCCGCCGCCTCTCCAACTCCGTGGGTCACCCATTTCATGGGAGCGCACAGTGCGTTACCTAGGGGTAGAGATCGACCGGTCGCTGCACATGACAGCACAGGTTAACCGCGCGGTCACACAGACCAGGACCGCGCGGGCCATGCTGCGACCGGTCCTACAGTCCAATCTCTCGCTGCGAACGAAAATAGGCATATATAAGACTTATATTCGTTCGCAGCTGACGTATGCCTCCCCCGCATGGTACGCGCTGTGCTCCGACGCACAGAGGCGGCGCATGCAGGCGCAACAGAACTGCGTTCTGCGTATGTGCGCAGACGCGGGTCGTTACGTACGTAACGACGTAATTGCCGAGATCTCGCGGTCCCCTCGGTGGAAGAGTTCGTCCGCCGGCTGGCACGTACAATGTTCAGCCGGGCGGACGCCAGCCACCACCCGCACTTGAGGGACCTAGCCCCGCTCCACGCGCGCCCACCGGACGCGACACGCGCATTGCCGCGAGATCTCCTGCGCACAGCAGGCACAAAGCAGGGCGACGGTTAAACCGGCCCTGCACGGTCGACGACACAGTATATATATATTGCTCTTTTTTTTTTTCCCTCACATTTTATTCCCTCAGCCGACGCTATTTACAATAGCGTCGGCTCGACCCCACGGGTCGAAAATTATTGACGCACAGGCGGCAGCCTGTGCAGACCGCCCGGGTAAAGGGTGCACACCCGAGGCCCGCACCTGCAACCCTGTAAAGGGTTGCGGATGAACCCTTCTCTCTAAACGGTCACTGTATCCTATGAACAGCTGCAAAACTAGGAGTGTCACGTGCGCGTTGCCGACTCTGAAGAAACCTTAATAACTCTTTACAAACTTTCAATGAATCTACCTCGTTTCTTACTTCCAAGAAGGGAGTGGTTTTTTTTTTATGGATGAAAATGGGATGATGAGCCCGACTGCGACTTCGTTATACGCTGCCGGGGCACCAGTGAAGGATGATAAGTGAGGATAAAAAAACAGGTTAATTAGCCCTTCGTAATGGATTAGCTAAGAATTAAGTACGATGGTTTCCAGGGGGAACTGCGAGGAGGTCAACCTGCCAGGGTTGCTAGAAATGGGACTACTAATCCCCATTACTAACAACACGAAGAGAATGCTAGTTAAGCCTGAATAGGTTGAGGGCTGAATGTGGTTGTTACCTATGTAAAATTTACATTCATTTCACACTTTAATTATTTCAGTAGAATAATATATCCAAAGATATTGTAAATGACTGTAGTGTAATGAAACTGATAAAATATATTGTCACTGAAATTATTCAACTTATCATAAAATAATTATCTCTTGTTTTGCAATGAACTTATTGTATACTTTTATTATATAATGTGAAAAAGTGATAATGTACTATTATTATTGCTGCCAATTGCCCTTTATCAAATTTAGCTAACATGAAATAGATATCGTAAGTTTGGTCTCGACCTAATTTAAATTGATGAACTTTGGAGTCATTTGTGTTGGACTTGGATCCACTAGGACATTTAAAAATTATTTCAATTTATCATACTAAGAGTATGATAATTTGAAACATTAAACAGACTTTTGAGCCACACATGGGTTGTAAAGAAAAACCAAGTTGATAGTTTTTTTAATTATTGGTTCCAGAATCACAGTGTGTGTGCGGGCTGGAGGTAGTGGTGGTATTAAGGACGGTGGACTATCATGGGGAGGCGCGTAGCACTGGCGGCGACCCCGTCACCGCCGCCGCCACGCTCGACGACGCGCCACTCGCCTGCACAGTCACCGATCTCGATACCGGCCTCTACAGGTTACTAGCTTACTCGCTGTCATTCATTTACTCACTATCACTAGGAAGGAAAGAAGGAAGGTACACGCGGTCAGCGACCTGCTATACACCGTCACCACTCTAGACGATATTCACTTATATTTAATATTTTACCAGACTGCTGATAATTTGTCCCCTATTTTGCAATAATTGCAATAATTAATTGTGAATTGATGTATGACAATCTATTTCTACATATAATAATGTAATTGATAGAATTGATGATACAAGTTAAATATGTAAAACAATTTGAAATAAAACAGTACATAAGTATCTTATCAGTACTTCATTGATACTAAAAGAATTTGATATCCAGCATAATTTTAATAGAAATGGCTCATGTTATTTTCTCATACTAGTTGTATTAGAAAATGACACGCGACCCACCCACAAATATCGCATGGTTTTTTCTACTACTCTCTATACATGAAAGAATTTTTAAAATTGGTTAAGTATTTTTTTAGTTTCTCCATTACCAACAAAAAATTAAATTAGTGTTACAATAATAATAATAGTTTAGATAAAACGAAGCCATGCAAACACAACTGCTTCATGGTAAAAACACAAATGGGACACAGGTGCCCAAGCAATCGACTTTTGTAGTTTCTTAAAATTTTAATTTTTCGTTATCTTAAAATTTTAGGAATCCTTGGTCTAGTCATTTATAACTTGGAATGGTCCATTATGTATTTCCTTTACAAGTATGGACTTGTAAAGGAAATACACACATTAGAGGTTTCGGTATCTTGGACTTTTCCAAGTCACCTACGAAGTCGAATTAGTTATCTTTGACCATATTTTGTTAAATATTTACCTACTAGTATTTATATGAATAATAATAGTTTAGATAAAACAGGTCTATAATTTTTAGTACCTAGTGTATGTATCCATTATACGAATAAAGCAGCAACATTTGAAATCGTCTCGTATAGAATTTTTTTTTTTGTTTTATTTTATACAAAAATCCACAGCTCTTAAAAAATAACTTACATGCTAAGTGTCTTATGAATACAGCCAATAACGGATTTTACTTATACAAACAAAAATTTTGATTCCATAGCGAGGTAGGCAAGTTAGAGTGGGTGTATGCAAGTAATATAAGCACATGTATGAAAGGAACCCATACATAATAGTGAGTGTCCATAAAGTTAAGTTAATTGATATATAAAATAATTAAATTCATGTTGTTAAAGTTCAGATATTGACAGCAATGATTAAATAATACAAAATCATGGTCACCAATTGTAAAGAGGGTTAAATGTATGCGTGGGTGTATGTGTAGTGTGATATAAATAAATGTATAAATGTATACATTAGTAGTATGTATACATAGAATAACGATGCGTCCATGGAGCGCGGGCGCGGTGTGCGTGCGCGTGCTGGTGTTCTCGCGCGCGGTGCGCGACTCGCCGCTGCGCGCGCGCGCGCTGCCCGCCGCCGCGCCGCTGCTCGTGTGGGGCTCGCGCGGCACCGGCAAGGAACACCTCACGCAGCCAGTCGCGCTCGCCAGGTACACACAAACACAAAACAAAACACCTATACGAATAGAAAGAAATATAATTCAGTTCAATTAAAGTCGAAGAGGCAAAATGCTGGGCCACCTTATACGACATGACGATTTTTTAAAGAGCATAGTAGAAGGAAAGATAGAGGGCAAAAGAGGTAGAGGAAGACCGAGTAATAACTACATGGGACAGATAAAAGAAACACTAGGTGTCATGTCGTATAGGGAGATCAAGGATATGGCCTGGGATAGAGCTGGCTGGAAGAAGATGCATGAATTAGTTGCACCGACAAGAGGAAACTCTTAAATGAAAAGAAGGAAGTCTAAATAAAAAAATAAACAATAATGGAGACTGAGAATCGCATTGCTAGCAATATAATATACCCAACCAAGTCGACCTCCTCGCGGTTCCCCCTGAAAACTATCATGCTTAATTTCAGATGAATCCATCATGATGGGCTAACTGGTCTGTTTTCATTCTCAACGATCACCCTTCACTGGTGCTCCGCCAGCGTATCCTGTTACCATTCCATTTTCACACATAAAAAAAACAGCTCACACACTCTTCGTGGTTGCCACGTGTGACCTGCTCACGCTCACTATGCTCGTTTTTTTTAATGGATGAAGATGGAATTGTAACTCAGCATGCGCTGTGACTATATCTGTATACGTTCGCAGGACACCAGTAAAGTGTGACAGCTGAGGATGAAGGTAGATTTACCCATAATAACCAATTGAATGAGAATTAACAATTATGGTTTCCAAGGGGAACCGCGTGGAGGTCGACCTGATAGTGTGTATTGCTACAATGGGCCTGTTAAACCTCAATACTAACAATCTCTTCCCCCACTATGCTCGTTAAGTAAGTAGATGATTCGTTCCTCTCACAAGCTATATTTTGGTCACTTTTAATCAACTTTTTAGATTGTTTTACATCTTTGAGTGTAACCTATCTATATTATTTTGAACAGTATTATGTTGTTTTCTTATTACAGGTGTCCGAAACGCCGAGAAATATACGTACTCGATGCGGGTAATTCAAGAGTCAAGGTGTTGGATGATGAGACCTTTGCATTTAAAACACATATAGTTAATGAAGGTAAAATTAAAATATTATAAAAGTTTATTTTGTTTTGTCTTTGATCCATAATAACCACACTGTCATTCACAGTTTGTTGGTGGGGTCGTAAGAGGCAACTAAGGGATCTTAACGGTTGTGGGATGGGCAAAAACCCAAAACTTAACTGTGGGTGCCAAGTTGCCTGCCAAGTGTGGCAACTATTGCCAAAACCCCTCAATTTATAGAGAAGGCCTATGTTCAGCAGTATTCATATACATCTGTTGCAGATTCTTATGTTATGTCACTTTATATTTATAATATTCACTATATAAAATAATATTAATTAAAAAAAATACAATTACAATACAATTGACATACTATATTGAAATCCATGCATTTTTGTCATTTAGATAGTCATTTATTTTATAATATGCTTTTATACAGAGAGTCCTTTTTATTTATATCTTGAATTTTCTTTAATTTAAATGTACTTTACAGGGTTAGCAGGCCGAAGTTGTACAGGAATAGCGGTAACAGCAGACGGAGTTATAGCTGTTAATTGGCGAACTCGTACACTTACTGAGGTATATATTTTATTTATTAATTGATAAATTGAAATGCATTGTCACTTTCTACATACATGTACTATACCATACATGCCGTTTGTATCTTAAAATTCGAAGTAGAAAAAATAGAGTGCTGATTTACATTCTTATATTCTATTATGAAACAGAATGACTGAACCAGAGGGAGACTTTGTACAAAAGTCGATTGCTTGGGTACTGTCCCATTCGTGTTTCTAACTATGTTTCGTATGGTAAAATGAATAAGAAAATATTTTTTTTATAATAATGGAAAAATAAGCTATGTTGGGGAGTATGACGGATTTCCCAGTTTTATGGTGAATAATAAATAAATAATTTTCTTTTAATACTAAGTTGCTTCCGTATATTTGATAAAAATTTATGCAATGAAAAAACAAAAGAAGAACAGTATTGAGAGTGCCACTATCTATAAATTGATTGTTATATACTTCTATATATATTTTGTATTTGTACTTTACAAAGGATTTACTTAATGATTTGTGTGGAGATACAATTATTATTTTGTTTTAATTCCAAAGTTGATACTAGAGGGCGCTGTTGTCTAAAACACGCTATAATTTAATTCCCTGGAAGTCAGGTTCTAGCATTGTAGATTTGAAATATTTAGTACTCTAATATTTCTTTTTTTTTTTTTTTTACAATAGTCATTGTTTTGTGTGTGATGTTTTATTTCGACGATTTTTGGGCTGTCTGATACCGCGGCGTCAAATAGTGACTGATAAAATAAAAATATATGGCTATTAAAATAAAGAAAGTTTCAATCTTCAACAAGCACAACAACGTGTGATGTCGTGACAGGTGAACGCGGAGGGCGGCACGGTGCGCACGCTGTCGTCGGAGCGGCTGGTGGAGCCGGTGTGCGTGGCGGCCGACGCGGCCACGCGGCGGGTGGCCGTCGCCGACAACGGCGCCAGGGCCGTGTTTCTCTTCGACGCGCACGGCAACATCGAACGGGAGGTACGCACTCGATGCAATACTTGGTGTAGGGGGAAAAGCGATTCTTAGTAATCTAAGTGACTCATTGCTAGCGATATACTTTTCTCAAACATGCTTGGAAATGTGAGCATTATTTTGACAATCTTCTTTGAGATAAATCAAAATTACCGTACTAGCCAGATACATGCGGGCAGCGGCCGGCAAAAGTTGTATGAAAATCCATATCTGTCGTGTTTTGCGGCCAGATAAATTACTATGTAAACTCATATCCGTCCTGTAATTTAAAAATGGAATTACCTTTTACTTCGAAACATGGCTACCAAGGAGGTAACTAATAAAAGGTTTTATTTAAATTTCGAACTGGCTTGCAAATAGAAAGCTGTTTATTGAAAAAAGAAAAGAACATTATGGCGCGTGAAAAATTATTATTGTTCGTTATTCGTCATTAAACTTAAAAAGTAAAATTGTGTTTTTGATTTCCGCACATTGTTTGAGAAAAATACTATACAAGCCTTGGCCACAACTAGGCATGGACTCACGTATGTGTGCCGCGGCTATGTCTCGGCCCACATTTGCACGTTCGTCCATCAATGCCTCAGTTGCTGGCTGCTGCAGTAATGTACTATATCTTTTATAGTTAATTATTACTATTAATTATTTTAAATAACTTGGCATTTACCTATAAATTGTAATTACCTGTAGTGTGGTCGAATTTCATCATCTGTAAACTGCAGGTAATAAATAAATAAATCAGGTCGACAATTACGCCCAAAGCCCACGATCTGAAGTGTAAGTACGAAAGTGTGGGAGTACTTTCGTTAGCAGACATATCTATGGTAAATCGACATAATATTATATTTTTGTATAGACAAATGATATAGAAGAAACATCCAGAGCGACAAATAAATATATAGAGTGTGCAACTATTGCTAGTGTAAATAATTTAGTTTCATACCCACAACGAAAGCAGAAAGCATTTATTACAGTCTGTGTGAATGTTTGACTTTTAACAAACAATCAATGTGATAACTAATCTCTTTCCATGTTTACTTATCACTTAACAAAACGTTTTTGTCACTTGACATTGGTAGTGATCAGGAAGCAATATATTAACAAGCTTATGACTATTCTTTGACTTCTGCATTCCTAGTATACTTGTGCAAACTTTATTAGGTTTTGAATTCTGAATTATATTTATTAAACTTATTACAGGTAGGAGGTGGTGAGTTGGGGCTAGTCGGGGGTCTAGCCTTGTCGGAAGACATGCTGATAGTAGCAGATGTAGCTATACGAGTCTACGATTTGGATGGTAATTTGAAAAATGTGTTTGCTCCAGTACCAAAGGGTGAGTATTATGAAGTAACATTTATGTTAGTGTGTGTAATGTAGAAAAAGTTTGCTAAATAAGATATTTAATAATTGTAAATTTAGCACTGTACACACTGGGTCAACATATCACTGCACCCTATCTGTTATAATTCTATATTATTATGTAGGATATAAGATGATTTTTATTTGTTATTAATTGTCATTTATTGTCACTATTGACGTCGTCGTAGCAATATATTTCCGCGTATGAATTTTTTTTAATCTACTACTATGTCTAATACTGTACTACTGTGTCTAAAGTAAAAAACAATAATTTGTATAGGTCGTTTTTATTTTAACATCTGTCATTTAAGAAGAATGACGACATGAGACAAGGAAATATAAAACTTCGTTTCTTTATAATACAACTTTTTACTAGGTGATTATTTAAACTTATTACATAATAATATAACCATATTATTATAGTTGCAAAATAGCTTTTGGAAAAGTCAATAGATTAATGGAATTGGTATTAAATGTTACTTAACTATCTATTGGATTTACCTTTTCATGAATTTATCTTTAATTAAAACATACTTTTTAGATGAATACTTAGTGTTTATAAAATATGCTGGTTCTTATTATATATTTTCATTTATTAATTATATTAATTGTTAGTAAAAATGCCGTCTGTTGACTTCATATAATATGTATTTTTTGTTCTATTTAAATTTATTGTATTTTTTGTTTAATTCAAACTACAATTGTCATTGTATGCAAAAAGGTTAATTTTAAACACTTAGAAGACAAATGTTTTTAATATAATATAATTTTAAACATAACACATTTAAATAAATATATATTATACAATATTAACAGAAACTTGAAAAGTATCTAATACCTATAATTAATAAACACCAAACTACTGTAAAATTACAAAAAAAAAAAATTTAAGAGTTTTTGTATAAATGAAGTTAATATTAGTAATTTGATTTCAATTTTTTTTTTGTAAATTATAACAAAAATAAACCAATCTTATGTTAGCCGTGTGGTTCCGGCATAGAATAAGCCACCTCTTCCTTTGCCGTAGGTGTCGTAAGAGGCGACTAAGAGAGAGCGAGGGCAGCATCTCTCTTAAAACATCTTCAAAGTCTAACTGCGATTGCAAAGCCTGTCAAGGGTGTCCATTACTGGCAAAACCCCCCAAGGGGAGGCTTATGTTCAGCAGTGAACAATTAAAGGCAAATCTGATGATGAATGATGTTTGTGACAGGGCGAGGCGGGTACGGCGGTATAGCGCTCGAGGCAGAGTCTCAGGGCGGGCGCGTGGTATGCGCGCGCGCAGTCCGCGGCCGGCCCGCGCTGGTGGTGCTGGACGTGCGCGGCGCCGGTGCGGTGCTGGCGGCCGCCGAGCTGGCCGACCGCCGCCCGCGACGGCTCGCCGGCCTCACGCTGCTGCCCGGCAAGCGAGCACTCCTCGCAGACCTCGCGGGAGACTGTCTACGGCTGCACACCTACTGGTGAACGGTACGTGTATCCTACACATTTACCTGTAGTTTCTATTAAAATATTGGTCTGTGCCGTCACAACATGCGATTACTCCTCGTAAATCACTTTATGGTTATATACTTACTGATAAACAGCACGTAACCTGCACGTTTATATTGGTCCCATATAGTACTGAATTAGGTCGCTAGCAATTTGCAAATTGGCGTTTGAATGTGATGTTTAGCATTACTGTCGCTGGCACACGGCTCATTGGCAGTTTTAAATATTAACAGTTTTTTTCATTTTCATTTAAGAGTTTCCTCTTGTCGGTGCAACTAATTCATGCATCTTCCTCCAGCCAGCTCTATCCCAGGCCATATTCTGTATCTCCCTATACGACATGACGCCTAGTGTTTCCTTTATCTGTCCCATGTAGGGTTCTCCATTATCACCACTCATATTTAACATATTTATAGAGACAGCTATAAGAAAAATTTCAGAACATACAGATAAGGGTGTCCAATTCAATGGAAAAGTAATTAAATTCATTAGATTCGCCGATGACATAGCAGCAATAGCAGAAACACGTAAAGATTTAGAAACGTTATTAAATTTTATGGATAAAATTTTTAAGGAAATGTCACTCAAAATTAACACAAATAAAACCAAAATACTCAGTACTTCTAAAAAGCCAATTGAACTGCAAACCTAAAGTCAAATTAAAATAAATAATATACCTATCCAAAATGTTAGGAACTTTAAGTACTTGGGAAGTATAATCACAGAAGACGCTAGGTGCACATTGGATATTAAAATTAACAGTTGTGGCAATCATAATAAAAAATCTATATATTTCTAAAATAACGGTAATTTAATCATTCTAATATAAAAAACATGGCATATGCTATTCAAACGTATGTGTTTTGTGTTTTCAGTTTATAATCTCGAATGTTAAAACACCAAAATATTTCTATTTTCAGAAAGAAGCGAACGTAACTGAATGAAGCCTGATGCCGTATGGCGATAACGAATTCCATGCTAGTCCTATATTATAACGGGAATCGAACTGTTAGCCATAACCTGGGACTGCGAGCGGAAGGTACTTGCACCAAAGTTTTTAGTCGACCGGCGCTCTGCCGCTGGACTATGTTAAAATTTATTCATAGTACTTACAGTATTTATTTCGTATTAAGTTGGTTATATATAAGTTTGTTTCTTATTTTTTTTTTTATGGTCGAGTTTATTTTCGACGTTAATTTTTTATACAACAATTGTGACTGATTTTTTTTTTCGATTTGTCTTAAATATCAAGTGGTTTGTTTCTAAAATTCTTTAATAATGATGAATTTGTTAATTTTGCGACAGATTCTGAAGAGCGTTTATAATTTTAGCTTACCAAAGGCCACGTCGCAATTATCTATCATGTATTGATAACGATTTAACAATTGTCAATGTTTCTGACTGATTATTTATAAAGTTCTCTATCATCGAACTGAAACGTTAATCATGCAAAAATATTCTTATTAAGTTGTTACTAAAAATTTGGATTTTGATAGCTAAAATGCATTTGAAAAATTCCGAAGCATAATATGAAGTAGGTGCAAATTTTTAGCAATACATTCGTAGATATGCAACGTATTCTGTGACTGACGTTATAATTCGCTAGCAGATTACTTTTAAAATAATTAGAAACATTGAAAAATATTTAATGCCTACAGCATGGGTAATATGGATACCGATCCGATATCTGTATATTGGATTCCTCTGGATATTGATGACAGAACAAAAATCGAACAAATTTCGATATCGCCCGTATCGGTCGGATATCTAATTTTGAATATGTTAAAAGTCTGTTATTCAAAACTATTTTTTGGATTTTAACAGACTTTTAACATATTTGTGTATAGATATTGTAAACCATTCATTCATTCATTCATTCATATTGTAACTAAAATAAAATATATATTGCTATATTTTACCCACCTCTATTTAATTGTATTTGAATATTGACTTATAATTGCGACGTTCCTACACGTCGGGAGGCTAAAATATGATTGCTCTTAACTTCTTTAAATAAACGATCGATTGTCCTGAAAATGTGATCTCTCGAGTCATTATGATATTAAGACAACTCAAGTCTTAATTTAAATTGTTATTGGCGTTTCTATTTTCGCTTTAACTAGTCGTACGACTGTGGCATTTATTTTTGTCCAAAACATTGTTATTGGACATCACGGTCTGTGTTTTATAGAGAGAGAATTCTATATCTCATTTATATAAGATTACACGACAATATTTAGTGAAAAGATATTCTACTTAATAAATCGTTGTGTCACCAATGTAAACATTTCGAGCTATAAACGAAAGTGTTCAAGGGCCCTTCCCTATGACATGAAAGTTTTTTCCAAATTTTTTTGAATCTCTTCTTTTTCCTGACGATTACCTATTTATTGTTAAAAATTTCGTAAACGCACATTTTTTATTTTGTAACACTAACCGGTTTATTTTTATGATAAATAAATACTTATTACAATTAAAATATAATTTATTAATGGCATAATTCTACATTCATTCTATAAATGGAAAACAGACTAGTGTATCGCTTTTCTCGTAATAATTATAATCGGCTTAGTTACACAATCAGAGAAGTTAATTAAATTGACATTAATAAGATATTAGTTGATGATAATTAAAATTGTTAATTGACCTACTTTTTTTAAACGGTACTAAGGAGTAAGTTAAGTAATTATTTAACTATTCTGAGTGCGGCTGATAGTATGTTTTTCTATTCTATTGATCCCATTTGATTACTAGAAATATGAGATTTTCATCGCAGTGGTCATATGTAAATAAAATTGTATTAGTGAATCACCTCGTCAAATTTTTTTTTTATACAATCTAGAATGGCAAACAAGGTGACGGCCCACCCGATGAAAAGTGGTAACCGTCGCCTATAGACATGAGCAGTACCGTGGAAATAACAGTGTATACTGTGATTGCTGTATTAATAATATAATTATTTACTGTAGTACGAACATCGTGTACAAAATTTAAATGTGTCTATAGAACGAATGTTGAAAGTATGTCCTACGTGATGTCATAATAATAAAATATCGCAACACAATCATTTGTTGTTACTATTCTTATTCGGAAGGGACTCTTAACATTTGTTTATTCATCCACCATAACCATGTTATGCTCAACTTTGGGAATTATAGGTTTATACTCAGTCATAAAACATTACGTATTTCATGATTATATATACATTACATAATTTAGGATGTTTCATTTGGCATTGACGTCATCATTCATTATTTTGACTTAAATACTTGATAATTATCTACGCTAATTATATATATATATATATATATATATAATAAGTAAAGCAGTTCTGTAGTTTATAGTGCTGGGAAAATTTTATTATTAGCGGAAATTTTGTAATTGTCGAAAAGAGTGATTAGAACTCATTAAATTCCAATTAACCAAACATTAATAAATGATCATTACTTATGTTAAATGCTTCTTTTATTACAAGTTTATAATATTAGAAGTATACATTTAATCTCGCTTTTAATGTTTTTTTTTTAATGGATTATAATGGAACGGTATCCCTAACGTTAACGGTAATACATTGGCGTGACACCAGTAAGGGATGATAGGTGAGAATGAAAGAGGCAGGTCAGTTAGTCCATCGTGATTAAATACATTTGGAATTCAGCACGGTGGTTTCTTGGTGGTTGGTTGGTGGGCATATTGCTAGCAATAGGACCCTTAGATTCCATTACCAACAATCCCAAACCACTTGTAATGTTATGTAAATAGTTATACAGGCTAGTTTTAACAGCTGGTGCATAGAGCACGCACCCAGTTGATGCAACCGGGTGCATAATCTATGCACTTCTTTATTGACACTAACTTAAAAAAGAATGAATTTTTTCTTTGTATTTATATACAACGATTTTTCCAAAAAATTCGAAGCGATTTGTGTGTTAAAATCAGCTATTGCTTATCACTTGACTTAACAAGCGAGAAACAATATTTACTGTATTATTAAATTAAATTGAACGACTCTAGAACTAGCATCATAATCTAAGTCGGTACGATGCAGTTGTGTTTGATTATGGAAATCGAAATTTGATTTTACTATTACTATAAACTACAGAAACGCCAATGAAGTGCTATGTGTAAATCTGTGATTTTTCTGACTGCATCAAAGCAGTGTGTTATCTCGAATCTCTGAACAAATTAATGATAATATTTTCTTTTAATTTTAATAGGTATTATACGAGTCAGTGAGCAAAAGATATTCTGTTTATCTATACTTTTTTTTTTATTTTGATGATTTTCATTGTACTCGTGTGTCCTATTAAAAAACTTGTAAGCAGAAGCATTATCGAAGACTCATTTCGTTTTGCTGTATTTATGAGAAATATAGTGATGCCTAAAGATTTTCTTCAAGAAATAAATGTAAATTACGTATACCCCATATTTAAAATTCATATTAATTGATTTTATCGTTTGTATACTCTTCGTTATAACATGAATTATTCGATTGCTCAATGGGAACTATAACACCATATCACAAAGAGGATGCTTCCATTTTGCTAGTGGTTAGAGAATTTAGAAATAATACGAATATCTATTTGGCCAGATTTTGATTTAAATGTGTTGGTATTAAATTAAGTCGCAACTCAGTCTAATACCAGTGTGACTTTTAGGTGTTACTTTTATTAGTTGTTTAATTTAATATCTAGAAAGTTAACATTCATTTATATAACAAACACTGTAACAAAAATAGTTGCCTACATTTCACATAAGAAATTATTAGCTATAGATCTAAAGCTAATTTAATATTTTTTAATATATTGTTGATTTTATTATATTATAATTGATTGTTCCCTGAAAATAAAAACCGTGGCCATGTTGCGGACTTTTCGGAACTTGTTCTTTTTTTTTATAGATTTTTTATTTAACTACCATTAACGCAATATGGTTCAGTTCAGATTGCGTTTGACCATTCACGTTGAATTTAAACACTAGTTACATGAATATATATTGATATCAGGGTCATTTCTACTTATATCTTGAGCTCCATCTTAGCTTTGTGAATTCCCATTGGGATAACTCTTGTCGATGTTTTTCTAATGTGTATTGAAATAAGATCAGACTTCTTTAGTTGTTTATTTCTAAAGCAAAAAAATAAATTAAGGGATCCATTTAGAAGTATATATCACTACAAAGAAATAGAAAGAAGGGTGCATGTCATATGGAATTAATATGCCTATATTTTTATACAAATCGATTAGTAAAGGAATATATACTTAGAAACATTTTCATTAGCGTGTACGTAGTGACGTCTTCGTTAGTATAGAAAAGATAAGACGTCAAATGTTGTCTCGTTAATAGCGTGTCGATCGATAGATTCGATTGCTTGCTGTCTAGGGGGTTGGTTACTGAGATAGATAAGTCAATATCGTTTAAAAATTAAAAGATAACTTATGGTAGTTTATGGCTCGAACTGCCGCCTTCTTTCTATTACTATATCATTAACTGTTATGAGATTAATACAGAAGCGAGATTGTCGATATTGAGACATGTAACTTGGTCACTTTAATAGTTATGGATAGTATTTTTTTTAAGTCGCAATAAAGACCTGCACAGTCGGTGGACAAAAGATGTCCATAGACAAAATTTCCCGTTTGCATTGCAGCATACAATTTTGGAGTTTTATTATAAACGGAGTAAAACGAACGTTAAGTACCTCGTAGAACGTTAACTTAAGAAACTTGAAAAGCGAGATACATGTACAGGGAAATTACGTCTGCAGACAGAAAGTCCCTCGTCTGTGCAGGCTTTAAGGATGTATAGCTTAAAAATAACATGTCTCAAGTTTAAGAAAATTTAATGTTATTTGTCTATCCCTAGACAGGTACTACACTTGGTTCTTATATTTCCATTTATTTGTTATTACTGTAAACCTACCCAATTACCCCTTGGAGTGGGCAAAAACACACAGCACGTTATTTGCTCCTATCCTATCTATCTATATGAGATACGTAGTGAAAAATAGCTGTTAAATAGTTAAAATGTGCCTGATATTTTAAGCTAACAATAGAATCGCGTCAAGAATTTCAATGTTAAGAGTAATTAGTAATGATAGTACCATCATTAAGGGCTGTGCAGATGATGGACCTGTCGACGGACAAAAATTCCTTTTATATAAACTGTGCACGTGTAAAATATGGCTTATGTGCATTATAGCATACACTTAAAATAAAAATTTATTTCTACTATAACAAAATGAGAAAAAATTATTCAGTGAATATAATATACTAAATATTCAATAACAAAAGTTATTTACAAAAATAAAAAGAACAAAGGACTAACACGGTGCCATTCAACTATGAGTCATATCCTTTTTTGACATAAGGCTATTTTTCAATGGCACCCATTTGTAGGAGAGAGGGCACCACTAGTCTCCTTAAAATTAACTATACGCTTTATAGCTTGAAATTTTAACAGGAAATTTTATCCATAGATTGTCCATCGTCTGCGCAGGCCATTATACGATGAGGCTTTTAACTGTTATTACATAGGATAAGTCGAGTTATACATAATAAAACATTCATAATAGCTGTCAACATGTTAAATGCAAGGGACTGACACGAATTAAAGGTAGATTTAGATCTAGTCCGAAATAGTACTATGTAGAGGTTTTGATTATAGATGAAAATAAATTTTTGGGCGTTCCCTATTAGAAATGATGTTTGTATCACATACTAAAGCTGCATAGTTTGAATATGCATTGTCGGTACAACGATTTGATTTTCTTTTTTTTTGTTATATTAATTGCATAATATAAAATATGATAATGGAAAATTGATGAAGTATGAAACTATAAAAAAGTTAATTAATTTGAAACGTAAACAGTGATAAATGTTCCTTTATTTTCAAGTCTGTGTCTATTATTGTTACTAGCACAAGTGAAATTTATAATTAAAATTTATCTTCATATTTCGTTATCTTCATGTTCTCAATAATAAGTATATGAAATTTAATGAGATAATGTTACGAGTACATGAATATATCATTTAGTACTTCTAATTGATTATAATGATCACGAATAATTTGTGGTTACTAGTTACATATTTTATTCGTATCTGTTCTTGTCACTCTGGAAATAGGATTACCATCCATCCGAACGTGGACGGACTTTTCCGACATCTTGTTCTGATTTTTTATTTTCAAATACCGAAAATCAAATCATCTTTATTCAAATAATCTTGTTTATAAACACTTAAATTGACATTTTTTATGAATGCTGAATCGAAAAGTTGCTTTCTGCTGAGAAGAATCCGCAAACTCTTTAAAAGCTCTTACCATTATGTATATTTATTTAAATGTACCATGTATAAAATTAATTGGTCATTAAAAAGCCCGTTCGTGATCGATTAACACGGTAACCCTATTTGCAAGGCCCTTTTTCTATTTGCCCTATATCACTTATACATAGACAATATTTGTTGATCGATAAAGCACTGATGCCGGCATGTTATGATTCACGACCTTGATAATTGCGTTTACATGGCTATTTCTCGCCTATTGACAAAAACAAATTGTATCTAGTGTCAATCGCAACTGCCCACATCAGTCTTTTCCTGCGTTATTGAAAACTGAGCGTTGTTACTTATAGATAAATGTGTAAAGGCCTCAGGTGAAGCAAGTTTTACTATTGTACTATGGAGCTTGTCATATCTTATGTTCATTATTGATTGAAAAATTATTTTTCTACCAATTTCATTTTATATCAGGGGAGGCCTATAGTCAACAGTGGATAATAAATTAATAAATGCTTATAATTGCTTTTATGATAGCACCTATAAATTAATATGCACATTTATGAAATTTTTATTTAGTTTGGAAAACGGCAATTATTCATAGAGCGAAATCGAAATTATAAGCCTCATACTAACACGGTGCATCTTACTATCAAAGAGGACTAATATTTATTGTCCTATTTCAACTGTCATTCCTTTGGGGAATTTGGTTTTTAATTTTAGAAATAATATTACCCTTTAAGAGCGTTTATAATTTCGATTTTGCCCTGTACAAAGAGGAAGAAACTTCAATCAAATTGTAAAGTACTTGATTTTAATAATGTAACTGTCTCATATATTTTCAATAATGGTAGGAGGTGATTTTCTTTTATTAGCACCTCCGGATATCCACCGATTCACCCTCTAACTCTTGTATACTTAGATAATAAGTCATCGTCACAAACTGTACACGTCACTGCCTTTTATCTTACGTACGCATTTAAGATCTCACGCCAGCCTCAGCATATTTGTTATGTAGATTGATAATAACACAGGCGACGCCGTGTGACAAAATAAAATTCCAGTTAATAAGCAGTTACAACAGCAAGTTGGTACAAAACATTAAATTAGATGTATTAAATAATAAATTATTTTTTGCATTAGATATCAATATGTGTAAATCAGAGCGATTCATATTTTCATTTTACTATGGATGCGTCTATATTTTGGCAAATTGAATATTTTTTGACAAAATTAAACGGAATTGAATTAACTTGTATTTAACTAAAATTGTATTTATCAAAAGCTGTGAAACTGTACTTAAATTATAATCAAAGAGTATCTCAGTGTATTGTCGATATTATCACTATTGTGAAAACACAATAAAGTTAAAATTGAAACATTACTGATTACTTTTATTTGTTCTCTAAATCAATTACAAATTTAGTTATAGTTTTTTAATTTAACCCATATATCATGAAGGTATAGCGTACAACATACTGATAGACTAGCAATACAGTATTAACATTAATAACAAAATAGTTATTGTACTTATACTAGTGTACGTGTTTTGTAAATGTGTCCATGTAACAGTACTGAATTTATATGAAATTGAAGTTGCTAAAATAGCAAAAAATTCACATATTTGTTGTAATTTTTATTTTAGTTTGTGGTCGTTTTAAACTATTTGTGTTAGATGTCTTTTATCAATTCTACAAAATATTTCCCATTGTTCTATAGAGAATAGATGAATGTTTAAAACTTAATTACGTGAAAAATGTGCAATTTTCTGGTTCTTTTTTCTAATTTATATTGTTATATTATCCAAGTATCCTTATTTCTAACCAACTGCATTCATTTAAAACTAATTCTACTTTAAAATGTAAAAATAATTTTGTTAATACTCCCGCCATGTCAACTTCGAGCATATTAGACATTGTGTAGGTGAATATCATACCGTCTGTCTCGTCCTACATATGTTATTTTTCTCTTGCATTTTTAATCTATATACTTTATAATCTAAAATTTAACTCAACGATTACTTTGCGTGCATTGTTTGCCTATTTAAAATCATTAAGAATATAACCTCTTACGCTTAGTTTCAGCAAAATACAGGTTCAGTACGTGATTAGGTGCTTCTTACGATATTTCCTTTTGATACGTAGTAGTCATTAAGTGCGATACTATAAACGATAACAACGTAATGAAGCTACTGCCAGTTCTGAATTTCTGAGTATTTCATACTTCTTTTTACATAAGATTATGTACATATATTCTCTTCTTGCTCTGCATTGTCTTAATGAGTATTAAACTGCAGTACATGTAAAACCCAGCAGTAATATTCCATGGGAAATTCATAGACAATTATATTAACTGATGGATTTCTTGTATCACTAGATTACACACTCGCTTTGTTACTTGGCATCTTCCCAAACCAGTAGACGGAAATGCTGCATAATTTTTCTACCATTATATGAATTCTAGCAGAAATGTTTCATTACTAAATCACCATCAAATAAATCATATTAAATGATGAATTTTCTGGTGATTGACGAAGTGATTTATGTACTTAGATAAAATATATAGTAATCATGCCTGCGCTCTTAGTTTATGCTGGCGGTGCACTAGGTGATAAGTGAGAATGAAGCAGGTCGGATTCCTTTGGGGATAGCCTATGTTGATCACTGGACAGATAACGGCTTATATAAATGAATGAATTTGCATTGACAACGTAGATAATTCAGTTACAGAGTTTGAAGGAAGGAAAATCGCCGCAACTTCAGGAAGTGTGCAAATGTTGATATGGCATCCTATTGTTATTCCAAGGCGAGACCTTCAATTTATCGCCATATCTTTGTGTAATATATTAAATAGGTACTGTAGTATTTTAATACAATCTCTCTTTGTTATACAATTTCAATGTGTATTTAAAAACACATTTAAAAAAGAGAGTGCTATGTGGAATGATTTTTTTTTTTAGATATAAAGCTTGGATGGTCTAGCTTTCGGACGCCAGAAGTTAGGTTTATTTACAAATAAATATAATGGATTATTGTAATTGCACAAATGTAATAAATAAATATCACTAGAAGATCATGCTACCTATTTATATATTAAAACAAATTTCACAAATATAAAACTTTATTGAAAAACAAATTACTGTGTAGGTACATAGCAAAAAATATAGGTCGACAACCTGTGACATACACTCCTACTGACCCATACCTATTGTTATATAGTCTGGAATACATACTGTTAACTCCGTTTACTAAGTTACATAAATTAGGAACCGTTTTCTAAATATTACTACGTTAACATACAAAGGCATTGTCACGCCGATGACATATTGAAAGTAATTTGCAATTAAGTAGGTAGGTAATTGCATACATTATCATTATATTCAAATTATTTTTAAATTTCTAATATTGTAAATCATTACAAACCATTACCAAATTACAATAATTATATAATACTGTGTAAGTAACATCTTAAATATCGATTGGTCATCAAACATAATAACATGAATAATGAATAATTAAAAGTCATGAATTCAAAACATTCTTTTAGAGAATCGAAATCAATCGTACATCCATTAAATTTGTAATTACCAGACAAATAAATGTAGATAGCTGTACACATTTTTACGTGACTTAATTTCGAATGCAACATTAACTACAAATTGGAAAATACAGTAATTTATTAACGAAAACCACTTCTTAAAACTAGTGTTAGTATTCTTTGATTAATCTTCTTTTAGTGTCTCTTCAACTAGCGAAGGAACTATTAGCTCATGGAGTCTGTCCTACTCTCGAGGTGGCTGGTGGCTCTTCGGCTGAAATTCATACGCAATGCTCATTTACTCCCAGATGTTGCGGAGCAAACCTGCGACTGATCCTTCTCTTACCAGTAACTTCGCTCATCATAATCTCATATAGAAGGTAATATCTGTCATGTTTTCCGCTTTTTTAATGATAATCACTACCAATGGCACTGCATAATAATACATATACTTTTTATTCTATATGTAGTGCTGTTGGTCTAGACACAGGTGTTCTTTTTTTTTCGAGAATTTTATTTCTTTTAAGTTTTTGGTAATATAGTTTTTCTAGGAAAAAAATACTAACACTAGTTTTAAGAAATTGATTACATTAATTAATATTCTATAGGTGTATATAATTTGATTATGGATTCAAAGTTTTTTATATAAGCAAGTAGAAACATAAGTGTCAATTCTGTTGATAAAACATTAATAAAATAGATAGATGCACAGGATAATAAGATAGAAGTGATTACAGAAATTAGGAGTTACATATACAAAATAAAAGTTTTGACTATATCTTTGTATAGTAAGTAATCCTTTGCATGTTGTCGTAGTTAAACTTTTAGGAACATCGTATACTTTCACAATCATTTAACCTATACTTTTCCAGGAGTTGCAATATTTTAAGGACATAATAGTAGTATAGACACATAAAAATAGCATATTATAGAGCACGATTAGTATGCAACTAAATGAGGCAGAGATGGTCAATACAAAAATATATGATCACAGCTGTATTATTTCATTATATGATATAGATGGATTGTTCATAAGTATCAGTCGGCTATATTGAATTGATAATAGTGACACTGAATGTATCCAGGTTTCGCCGAGAATATTAGATACAACTTTCCAGTCGGCGAACACATAGCTGTCACTAAGGAAATAAGGTTTATTAACGGCGTTTAGCACTGCCGGCAAGTTATTTGGAATTTTAAACAAGTTTTTTGTGTCGACCAGATTCGAACTGACGACAATTGGTGTCTTATGAATCGGGTAGTAGATCACTGGGTCACGATTTTGAATTCAACAGACTCATTAATGCACTATGTATGTAAAAGTAAATATTCTACTTCGGTATTATTATAATGAGAATTATAGACAGACACGTAATTCATAAATATGGATAATTTCCAAGAATTTTACAGAAACACACTTATACAAATTAAATCTAATAGAATACAAGTCGCTTTGCATTTTAGAAACATTTTAAATTTAAAATTTCAAAACAATTTATTCAACTTTATTGTTGAAATTAATAGCAGTAGAATCATAAAAAATGCTTAAATTTTACTATACTTTAATATTAATTTCACATACTGATTACAGTTCACCGGCTTGCAGTCAATTGTGCAATTACACATATTTTACAGAGATCAATGTCATCATTATCATTTTAATAATTCATCATCCATTCCTCAAAGACAAAATCATAGAGTATCGTAAAATTTGAGCCAATTACAATTTATATATGTACATCAGCTTCCTGTAATATTTGCAAGATTGTCACTATATAGGTACATACTCCATTTGTAACTTTTCTCCTCTGGTTAACGAGTTAACCTATTGTTTGGGGGGGGGGGCATTGTAAGTAATATTCTCGCAAAAGTCGACCTCCCGTCTGGACATCTGCGTTGGTTTTTGTGAATGATAGGACAGCTGAACTGAGTCTATTACAACTTATCATCCCTCGATGTTAGTCTAGACTAATAGTGCATGGGAAAATATTCTTATTCATTAAAAAAATTACCACTTTAATCAACATACACTTACGAATAATTTGTGATGCAAAAATAATACATTTTGTTGTAAAGACCTAACTAAACGTATAAAAATAGTATCTAATCAACTACATACGAAAATAAATGCAAATGACGAGATAATTGGACATTTGGCTGCAATTACTTGCCAAATTTGGCCAACGTCTCTTTGCAGTCTTGTATGGTTTTGTTGAGGCGTTCCACTGTCGCCGAGGTTTGCTTGGAGCCAAGAAGACGTGTACAGCTAGCTATTGTGGTATGGTAGCCGCACACGTTGTGGAGAATTCTGACAGCGCGATCGCCACACACGAACAAGAATTTTCCACTGGCATCGAACTTCATGTACGTAATTAAACCTGTAATAGAACAGAAATTGTATATAATAGCCGTGTGCCCAGGTTTTTCCTCGGTAACTAAAATTTCACTCTTCTTTAACGCCCTCTACCTATAATTATATTAAAAAAGACACTTAAATAGAGCTCATTCGATCAAACAAGTAGATTTTGCTTCATTAGAAACCAGATTAATTGAACATTAAACAGACAAACTTATTATAAAACCAATATGGATATCCTCGACTGCGAAAAGAATAATCAAAATCAGATAATTGGACATTCGTTTCTAAAGAGATCAATATTCAAAAATTAAAATAAAATACCTATTTATAGATAAGTATTTTAATAGCAATATTAATTATCGTTATTGTTTTTTCATTATTTCTAACAATAAATAATATTTATTATTATCAAATAGGTAATTTCTGTGCTTATCTTTAAATTTTGAGTAACTTAAATATTAGAATTGTTAATTGTAAATACAAAAATAGCTTTTTTTTTCATCTCTTATTTTCCCTTTTTATTCCTTCCAATGGTGAGCGATTTCCGAAAAAGATATCTATCTGGGAAATTCTTTTTCAAGTTTTATATGCATTTTTCCTTTTTATGTCCTTGTGTTTACAGATGTAGATTCAAAGAAAACAAATGTCATTAAATAGGATTTTAAAATAAAATTCTTGGTTAAAATTTGCAGCACTTCCATAAATCAATATATTAGGAAAATTTTAATGGATTTAATCGCTTAAGTATTTATGATTATTATTAATTATATTTATATTGTTAATACATTTAACATTAACTGTCTTTACGTACGTTTACGACGAATATCTATTTTTGTTTGTTTATTACTTTCGTGTTTATTGGCGTGACTCGCGTATTACAAATTAGATACACTAAAATACTTTCAATGAACATGAATTGAAAACAAACACGTGAAAGACAACGTAACACAACAATCTTATTAATTATACACGCTCAGAATGATCGGCGAGCTTGGATTGCGCACCAACCAACCCAGATAATTTATGGGACACAAACTGCCGGATGATGGCGAGTCTTGCAATGTTTTTTGTTTGTTCATTACGTGAATATTTTATTCGCCCCATTCGAAATTCAATAAGATTGCCATTCAAAAATCAAACTATTACCGATATTGTTACCATCACTGATTAATTAAATTCGATTAGGTAATAAGTCATTATCATGGAAAGGAATTACACACTATCAGGTCAGCTGCTAAACTGTCTTTCCTGAAATTCATCATTGTTAATTCCTCTTGAATTCGACACGATGGGAACACTGATTCGTCACTGACCTGCCCTCATTTACATTATTTCATCTCCACTTAGTGCCCTGTCATTATATACCCTTAATATAGGTAGGTACATATTCCATTTTCATCCATTACAAAAAACTACACATCATCATGTAAAAACTATTGCTCTAAATTGAATGCGGTTTCCACAGTTGTGTTTTGAAGATCGGACTTGAAATTTGGTATATGTTTTATCTTGATATGCCATATAGAAGTATTCTATTTCATTCAGTAGTGTTATTAAGGCAGTAGTGTTATTTAATAAATTACCTGTCCAGTTAAAAATTATACGAAGCCTCAATTCTTTTAAGATTAGATTACGATCCCTTTTATTGGAGAAATGTTACTACTCCGTACATGACTACTGTACTGGTGATTAATATAAATAATTAAAAATGAATTTGACATATGTATATAATATTACTATGAAATTGACACTGTTTATTGCAGAATTTATTTATTATAATTTATTGTTATTATTATAGTTTGGATGGTTGTAATATTCAGGTTAATGTAATGATTTTTGTATGTTTATCCCTTATTTCAGACACAATGTACATTGTTTTTTGAATAAATGACTAATGACTAATTCTATTTTTAAAATCCACGCGTACGAGATAGCGGGCAATAAGTTATATTATGATATACTTATTTACATTCTACGATTATCATTTGTTATCAAGTGAATCGCAAGATTTTTACTTCCCTCTTTCATAGTGAAATCTGTCCAATATAACTAACTAACTAACTAATATTATAAATGTGAAAGTGAGTTTGTTTGTTACAGCCCTCTTAATGACTTAACTAATTACACATATAGTAAATGTATACCAAATATTATAATATATATATATATATATATTTACTATTATGCGATGAATAAGGATATAGGCAATTTTTTCCACGTGGGCGAAGTCGTGGATAAAATCTAAGTAAGTACGACTTAAACCGTATCTGTATGTATCTATGTTGAATTAACTACAAATTAACAGAAATGTTTGGAATCAACTATTGCGCACAAAATGCCGGCGTGAACTATCAATGTAAACAAACAGCGAGTATAAAGCCGTACGCGGATATATTTATTTACACAGGTTTTCAAATTTGGTTCAACGGGACCGGAAATGAAATGGACTGAAAGCAGATTCAGTTAAGGGCGACCGATAATTGTATCGGACCTGTCCTTGAGTCCTTTTTTTATATAGGGTAATTTGCTTTATAAATAACAAAATAAATACAAGTGTATATTACAAAGCGCCATCTTCAAACTAAGCAGAACTAATGGATTAAAGGTGAGTAATATATAACATATCTATATATTGCATTTGCAATACCTATATATATTAGTCTAATAACTATCGGTTATCCAATATATATCATTGAAAAGAAGAACCGCTCCTTATGAATATAGATATCCGGCTGGTATGGGCGATATATAGACTGGTATATAGACTTTGTACAAAAGTCGATTGCTCGGGTACCTCTGTCCCATTCGTGTTTCAACCGTGAAGCAGTTGTGTTTGCATAGCTGTGTTAGGGTGTGAAGGGTGGGATAAGGCGTGAATTTACTGGGTACAGAGGAATAATACCTGAGTCCTCGGGAATGGCAACGCATGGGGGGTATCATGGGCGAAACAGTATACTCTGTTATGTCCATGGTACTGCTGATGTCTATAGGCGACGGTTACCACTTTCCATCAGGTGGGTCGTCAGCTTGTTTGCCATTCTAAGTTGTATAAAAAAAAATCTTTTTATCGTGAATCCATACAGATTATATATCCATAAAATAGAATAGAAATATTTGTATTGTGTAAAGATCGAAGCTGCAATTATCGGAAGATAAAGTGGTGCCTTAAACCGCTAGACCACTAAGATCATATTTTATACTCTGTTATTTCGATCAAAAGTCAAACCAAGATGTTTATTAAATATGCCGAATATAAAAAGATCATATTATAAAGTGCGACGCCATTTGGATACAATCAAATAGGTATTTTATGTCGCTTCGCCACGTGTATTCAAGCTGTATATATGTAGTATAGTAAGTTGTTATAGATGAAAACGGGTTCCGCGCGGCAGAGCCTTTCTTTTCCGTTTCTGTTATAATAATTAAAAAATATATAAACGTGTGGGAATATTAATTCACAAATAATTTAAACCTACAGCGGTTTTTTTTTTAATGGCCGATAATGGAATGGTAACTCCGCCTGGGCTATCGGTATACGCTGGCGGGGTACCAGTTAGAGATGAGATAGATGACGATGAAATAGGTCGGTTAGTCCATAATGACAAATTCATAAAAAATAATCAAAATGGTCTTCAGGGGGAACAGCGTGGAAGTCGACCTACAAATTAACAATCTATTTCCATCCTCGTCTGTTTTGTTAGTATGGGAAATACAAATTTTTTATTATTTGTGAATTTTTGATCCACGAAATTTCAATCGTAATAACAATAGCGTTTCGATTGCTGTAGGTACTCCAGTGATTCCGAACGGCTTCCGATAGCCTCGGAATGAGATTATAAATAAAATTATTTTATCCGACGGAAACTGGGTATTTGTCCCTTTGATCACGATACTGCAATGCCAAAGACCTATAATTATTTAAAATAAATAAGCATATTCCAGAAATTTTCATTTTAATAAAATTCAAATTCCATTTCAATTCGTTTTTACTATCTGGATTTTCTTCTCCAACCCTGCATACAAAATCTTTAACAAAAAATAAAGCAAAGTGGGAGATGAATTCACTGACTGAGAGTTCCGTACATAAAGTGTCTGTAAAAAGATCTTTGTTTCCTTTAGATAAAAAATATTTGTATACTAGCCCTACACAGAAACACCATGGGAAATAAAACCATTGTAGTACGAACGTGTTAAAAAGTTATAATTACTATAACATACAGAACACAAATCAATCTGTACGGAACATAAGAAGGAATATTACTAAACAATAGTACCTGAATATTTACATTTCCATATAAAAACATGATATGATAATTTACATTTTTAACAATTACATCTACTGGCTACTATGTATATATAGCACCTATTGAAAAATTATACATATGTAAGTCAATAATATATGATATTAAATGTTATCTTTATTATTTTTTTATATGAAATCGACACCTAATAATTACTATTACTGTTATTTAAATTAGTATTTCCACATCTAGGTCGTAAATGTAATTAGAAACCCGACCGCAAAATTTAGTTTTTGATAATTTCTCAAAAACAGTCCTATTTAGAAACGTTGTTATATTTTTCCTGTAACATTCATATGTATCTTTATAAACTATAATTATTTCAGATTTTTCGCTTCGGAAATAAAGGACTAGTAGGTAGATTTTGAAAATTTGAGTATCCAAATCGGGCCTGCTAGGATTGAAATTTAAAATATTTTTTCAATTCTTTCATTGCAATATGTGTGAGCCAATGATATCTAAAACTATTCCAAATTTCAAATCCATAGCAATAGTAGTAGCTGAGACATAACGCTGTGACAGATGGACGGACAAAGCCGCACCATAAAGTTCCTTTGCAACTATTTTGGTACGAAACCCTAAAAAGATTACTTAAGGATACGGTGTAACTATAGGAACAGAAAGGGTTGCTATAGATACTAGTATACAAGGTAAAATCCAATAGATCATTAGTATTCTTTTAAGGAAGTGATTTACCGGTAAAATTAGGCATTTATCAGCAATATATATGAAAGAAACACGTGTCTAAAAAAACAGACAATGTTTACATACATACGTATCTGTCATGCCTGCCTCCCATTAGGATAGGAAGAAACAATGAAACGCCAAATGCTTCGATTCAAACAAACCTCTTTCGCTTCTTCCACATTCATCAATCTTTTTATGCACGCTTGCCGGTTACGGGTACTTTTAATTTGGTAAAACAATGTTTTTTTTTTGGTTATTTGATTAGAATTTTTTATTTAATTCCGCTAACATTAATATGTGTGCGACTGCCAACGTTTGAAGATTGCCCACCATTATTACTACTTACCAGAAGTTTCACAACTTTTCATACTAGCCATCAATCTCAGACTGCCATTTTGTTTATGCACGTTTTGCGACACGTGTTTCACCTCTAAACGAGGCATCTTTAGGCAAATTATTAACCGTTGGTTACTTAAACTGAATTCGCAGAAAAATGTGCATGAAGAAAATAAAAACGTGCGTATACAAAATGGCAGTCGAAGATTGAAGGCTAATATGAAATGTTGAGGAACATCTGGTAGTAATGGTGGTCAATCTTCGAGTGTTGATAGTCACACGCATACTATTGTTAGCGGTATTAAACAAAATAATTTCAATTAAATAATCGGTGATATGAACTTCCGCAAGATAACACCTAGTTCAGTAAAACAAAAAATATTTTTATTCATTTTAGATCCGTATCTCTTTATTACTGTAGCAACAAATTTACGTCAGAGACCTACATATATAACGAAGGTGGCATAGAAACCATTAACGCCAGAGGGCAATACCCTCGTACGATCGGTAATATCCTATCATGTTCTCATATAGACAATTAACTAGCAAACAAATAAACCTGTAAAGTATAAGCTTGCTTCCTTACATAAATACTTATAGATTGTGTCCCACAAAAAAAAAACGGATTTTAATTGTAACAATATTAAACTATTTTTTATTTTAATTTAAAAACCAAACTAACTGACTCAGAATTTTGATAAAAACTCTATGAGATCAAAGAAGTACATACTTTCAGATAAAAAAGAATTTTCTAAATTGGTTTAGAACTGACGGAGTTAAGAGATAGCAAACATAAAAACAGCAACCGAATAGAGTGCCTCCTTCTTTTCGAAGTCGGTTGAAAAGATTTCCCCTCTTTTGGTAAATAAGGATTTCCCTATTCTGTGAATCATATCGTATATGTTCAAGTTACGCACCATAATATTTTCGCTTTTGAATGACGACATGATATTTATACCAAGTAAAGCGTCATTAAATGAAGTTTGAGATACAGGAAAAATTGTTTCCTCTTAATGAATACCTACTGTGGGTGGTATCTGATCTCTATGGACTTATCTTACAACTTGTATAAAAAACGACAAATTTATATTTACTTCAAACCACTTATTACTAAATTGATGATATACGTAGTAAAGCGACGTAAAATATTTGATGGCGTCACACTTTATAGTGTAATCTTTTTTTATATAAGGCAAATTTCGTAAACATCTTGATAGATATATCTTCTATCAAAATAACAATGTATAAAGTAAAAAATAAAAACAAGAAACAATTTGTTTATGATTATTGCCATATTATTTTTTTAAATACATTCTTTCGAAAATGTCTACATTGTTTACTAATCATATAAAAATAAAAATAAGTGCACGGCTGTTATACCAACAGCTATAGACAGATAGACAATAGTTATAGACATTTCAGCCGATGACCTTGTTGATAGATCGCTTTAACATACAACCTCAACTTCTGATGGTCGCGGGTTCAAACCCGGCACAACACAAACATTTATTAGTATTCATGACCATGTCTATTTATATTAGTCTGGATGTTTCTTATGTACAATAAGCATATATTTACAAAAAAGTATTTAAGTATGTCTATCAGTTATTTGTTCAGTGGTCATAGTATAAGTTTCGCTTAGTTTAAGACTAGATGGCGCTGTGCAAATATGTCCAGTGATATTTAATATTATATTAGTTTTATTACTGCCATTGTTTTAAGACACACGTTACTCACAGGGCGAGAAGTCTTTTCCGGGCACCGTTACATTTGTGTATTTACTATCCACTGGAGAGTTTGTTGGAAAATTGATAAACTTACTATACGACGGTGCTGTTCTTAATGAATAACAATAGAATGGTAACCCCGCCTGCGCTATCATTATACGCTGGCAGGGCAACAGTGAGCCATTGTGACGAATTCAACAAGAATTAATCACGATCGTTTCCAGGGGAAAATGCTTGTAGGTCGACCTGATAGTGCATACTGCTAGCAATGGGGATTAACGCTCCCATCTTTAACAATCCCTCTCCCCCCATACGACGGTGGTGAAGTCACGAAGACTGAAGTCGGAATAGAAAAACTATGTCACGAATATGAACTAGCATTATAATATAATAATAACAATGTTTTGCATTATTTTGATGACTCATTCACATACCTACTCGCCTTATGTTATATATTCCATTAATATATATTGTTATAGTAATAGATATTGTCTAGGTTACCTATTAGTGACTAAGCAACAAAAACACGCCAATTTCGCTCGGACAGCATTAATAATGGTGACTAATAAATAGAACAGTTGAGTTTATAATAATTAATTACTACGAGTACAACTTATTACGGCGATTAGCTCTAAGCGATAGCACATTCTTATCTTTTATAATTTATGGTAGCACGATACGACACGTCACGATATAATAAGAGAGTAGCACGATTTTGATTTTCCATCAACGGTAACATCGTGCCGTTCATGGCCACTAAAACACACTCTACAAACTTTACAAAGGACTGCTCCGCTTTGGCAGAAACAAAAAAAAAACTATTACAAATGAAAACAATTTTCAAAAGTTTATAATCAGTGTCACTCAGGAGGTATAAGGATTCTAGCATACCCATATATTTGGATATATAGGTCATCCTGTAATTTAACTGTCTTCATTAAAATACCTACATACATTTTGTTTTTCTATTATGCTTTGATGATAAAATTGTAACGTGTTGTCAGATGCTACGTTAAATTGTAAAAGCGCCCATTAACAGCCAATTTTCACCAAATTATTCTTACATAGTTTTTTGATACCCGTATTATAAATATCGCCCGTATATGTATATTATAGATGATATTAGTTCTGTAGGTCACTCCTGAAAAATGTATCTGTGTCAAAGTATTTTGGCAAGATAAGAGTATAATTTGGGTCACTATGTTTAGTTAGACATAGGTATAACAAGAATAAATATCCCGAATGTTTATTCTTATGTTACAATACATATGTTGTTATTTCGAACCAAAAAAAAGATAGGCTATGATTATCATGACTAGTCTAAATTCGGATAAAATGTAACTTATAAATTATTTAGGGATATGGTGTAACTGTGTACCAAATATATTTTGAATTCGTTTAGAGTAAGAAATATACAAACATGTTTAAAATCTCTTTTTTGTGAATTTATTATAGACACTTGTAATATTTTCAATTTTATGGTTCGAAATGTTGTTTCAATCAGTTACCGACAAAAAATGTTACTATCACTCTTGGTTAATATAATCTTATCATTATTATCGAATATCCTTCTACCTTCTTTACCTATCCATATTCCCGACCAAATCTGGGATCACATTTGGGGGTACATGGGTAACAAAACGAGTCTGTTGTTTAACTGCGTGTTGAGCAGATCAAATCTCGATAAATCTTCGTCGGATATGCATAGTCTAATCAGCCGCGATCTCCGTGCTTCATTTAACAAATCCGCAGCATGTTCAACTAGTGTTGGGTGAACGATGTAAAATACAAAAGCGTATAAGAAAACCTATACGCAGGATCTACGTGAACCAGGTTTGTCCTTATCCCTTCTCTAACCCAACAACTCATTAACAAAAGGGCTAAAGTTAAAACACACATACACAACAGTGACCACCAACAAAGGCTAAATAAACAAACAATCATTTAATCAACAGAGATAAGATAATAATAACTCCACGCTTCATTCTCTACGTAAGTACTCGTATATTTTATCTGCGCCCGCAGCCTATCTTGTTGTTGATTCATCCCGTTTGGTTGACAAGCCGACTATGGATATTTTTATGGAAGCACTTTATAGTCAGTCAGATTAGCTCCGCGGGGTTCCCATTTACTAACGAAACTCAAAAATTTTATTCTTATTGAATGTTTAAGCCCCATAAGAACATCTATTACAGCTTTGCAGGTAAAATAGTTAAGATTTCGAGTTTCTTAGTCATTTTTTTCATCTAATATTAAAGTGACCTTTCATATTAATATAAATTTGACCTACTGTTATTTACTTACATTTGGATAAATAAACTGGGAATATAAACACAATTTTTGTATTCAATAGCGAGTTAAATAATTATTTATACTTAGGCCATGGTTAAAAAAACTTTTAATATTCTGGAATAAAATCGGCGCTTGCTTGCATTGGCTTCGATTCAAGATTTTCGATAATTCCTATTATAAATCACACTTTGTGGAAAATGTGAAAGATAAAGTTAATAAAGGTTATTTTTATTTATATTTATATTGTATTATTTAATAAAATTACTGTGTCAAGTGACTGATATTGTCCATTTTTTATCATAGGGTTTGGTATTCTCTATTTATTTTTTAATAAAACTTGAATTAAGATTGTATTAAAACTTAAGCGAAACATCGAGGATAACTCGGTTGTAATTGTATTTTGAATTGGATGATAGAGTAAAAAAAGCTATCAAAAAATATATAATTAAATATGATCCGTTTCAATAGAACTTAATGAAAAAGTAACCAATTTTATTAAAACTATAATTTCATAAAATATGATAATTATCACAGTAACTCTTTATAGGAATTAATTGATTTTTATTTATGGGATATCAGTGAACTGTGATGTGAAGGCATTGCCGGCCTTTTTTACTGAATTCTATTAAAACGGACTATAAGTGAAGGGCATACCTGAGTACAAATTCTCCACCGTGTCGTATAGTTCCCCGGTGTACGTGTCATAGAATTCAACGGAAGAATCCACTGACACAGCAAGCACCTCAGCATTGGGCGACAGCGCTATGTGAGGTGCATTCGCGCTCTGTGTGTACTTGCCGGTTTCGAGCACGTGGGGCGACTCGCCGCGAACATAGTCGACTGTGTTAATAACATTGGTAAACATAATAAAGAATATACAATTCAATTTTAACAACTTAATTAATTAAGAGGTAAAAAATTAAAATTACAACAAAAACAAAAAAGCATAAAGAAAGAACATATCTAAAATGTTAAATCGAAATAAATAATTCTATCAATGAAACTGAATACGGATGTCCGAAAAGAAACACAATGTCTAGCTGTCAAGTTACTAATTTGGAAAGTACAGTTTTTTGTCCTTTTCAATCCATGTATCATTGATAATATCTAATGTTTAATATGAACTGGCAGAGAATCCTCTTATAAGGATGTCGTTTTAATTTCACCCTGTAGATACAAAAACAACCATACCATAAATACCATAAGCGTCACTATACATGTATATGTATGATATAGATATGGATATATTTTGTAATGTCTTATAAGATATGATTTATAAGCTATACCAATTACCACTTTCTATCAGAAAGGCTGCTAACTTGTTTGCCACCTCTGTCGTAGCATAGAAAATACATATTTACATGTAAGTATTCCCTATTTTATTTTTACTTGACTCATAATTATGTGCCTGCTGTGATAAAATCTCTATTAGTAATAGTCAATTCTTCGACGATTAACATTTAAATAGAATGATTCTGGTAATCTTGACATGTTATATTGCAACAAGCCTTACGACATTACATTATAATAATTACATAGTAATCAAATAAGTGAGACGGCAGATAACAAAAATGTAAAAAATGCCCTGTAGATATCAAGCGGAAAAAATTAAACATCTCTGTTTGACCATGTTATAAGTAAATGATTTCTTGTCTGATATGACGTTTACCATTCGTGATCAAATATCTTAATATTGATAAAAAGATCTATGTAAACATAAATATAATTAAGCTTTATTCGAAATAATAATGAAATCAGAAAATTAGGCATTTAATTATGAAAACGTAAACAATAATTTTGGCTAGGAAAGACCCAATAACATACGTATTTGTTGGAAAATAGCAACAGGTAAATAACGTGATGTCTCCGCACCGCGCTAAAGCAACTGACGCGTGCGTAATACGAGTAGGTATCATCGTATTTTCCTAATGATTATGATATCTATACATAAACACGTTATACAATCAAGTTTTAATATGCATACGTAGTTTGTAGACATCGTAAATCGTTTACGTCGTGTCGAGATAATGATTTTATTTATAAAGTACGGAGTCAGTTTAATGTCAAATGAAAGGATGACGAAACTGTTGTACGATGAGAAAGTGGAAGGATGTAAGTGCCGGATGAGAGTTGAATTTACCTATTATGAACATATGGGTCGTTTATTGTTTGAGGAAGAATTTTAGTTTCTTGAATCTGGTATACGTATGTATGGGACAAGTTCTAAAGTAGTTCAAGCATATATAAAGATGCAGTATGTAAAGATATAACGCCTTTCGGTCATACTTCCTACCTCGCAAGGTTTCTAGCATGATAATATAAAAGTTAGTAAAAGATTTGACAAAAATGTTGAAATCGATCAATAGTCCCATCGTATTCCATTTAGACACTTTCTCTTCGTGTTTATGGAGACATAGTTAATAATACTAGTAAATCCCTAATAATCGTGCAAATCATAATAGATGCCAAATTTAGAATAGTCAAGGAAAATTCTAAAATACACGATGAAAACGTCTGTTCTTATTATAGGTTTGCCAAAAAGGAATTACGTAGTAAGTTAATATTTTCGCTGGAAGTATTACTACTAAAGAGATTGTTGTCTTTATTAATCATAACAGCCTATGCGTCACTTCTAAGCAACAACCAATGATATCATTTTATCTAAATCGGTTGACATACGTCTAATTTATGCAAGCATACGTGTGCTCGACCCAGGCCAAGGCTTGAACCTGAACTCTAACATTAGACCTGCAGTGAAGCATAATTATAGAATTATATTTAATAGACTATACCGTAGATACTAAATATAAGTATTATGAATGTGAAAGTTCTTAAAGATATTTGTATGTTTGTTATTTAATAACAAATAAATGACCGAAATGGTTTGGATGAAATTTGAATTATGGATGGAGCACAAACAGTCGATATCGGGATAGACAGAGAGAACCGATTGCTATGCTAACGGCTTCTATGCATACAATCGTTTGCTTCATCCACTTTCATAATTCGTCTCACGCATAAATAAAAAAAGAAAACGTGCAGCGGGATAATATAAAATCAAAGTTTGTTTACATGGAGCAAACAAAGTTGCTGTTAATATAAGAATTATTCATGAAACTAATGCTTAAATGATTTGTTGTATAAAGTCTTTATGGAAAATAAACTGAGAACTATAAAGGGCATTACTTTATATTCAATAATACATTTTATCACCATTGAGCGGACAAACTACGTCAATCGAAGTACATATATCGTTGAATATGGTATGAGTGGATTCTACATGAATACGAATACATTGTATTTTATCCTACTTTATAGTGACATTAACGATCTTGTCAAGTTTTAAATTTCTAGATTTTTATTATCAGTTATATCTAAAAATCGGTTCGACGACCGCACGGGTCTTTTCCTTACACATTAAAGATAAGAAAGAAACCTGTTAGTTTCAATATATATCATCCATAAACATCTTTCACTTAATTTGTTTTCATTTAATCGTGATTTAATTTACTAACAAAATTCTCTGTGTGATGATGGAGTTGGAAATCAATACTACTCCATTTCATTAGGTTTTCGTAAAAGTCGATTAGGAGAACAAAGCACACTATATCAGTGCAGGGGGAGGGGGCGGGTTATACCAAACCATCTGGCCAGCGCGTTAATAGTAAGCTTATATCATCCCCCAATACGTGATGAAGTGATACGTGAATGGTAAGATAATAATATATTGGTATAATAATATATATTGTAAATTAAATGTTTATACTAAAAAATCTTTATTACTGTTGATACCTAGTAGTATTGAATATTTAATACGAGATTAAAAGCGTATTTTTCCTACAACATTACCTTGGTGTCATTCGCATCAACTGTCAGGTCGTTGTCAGGTCGGACAACCTCGTGTACGCGTCGTGTGTAGGCAACTTTATAAAGGTAATGCATTTAAGAATATTTTTGTTTACTAAATGTAAAATTTTGTATATAATCTATTACCTAATCAATCTTAAACCGCTGAATAGGATCTCAAATCTCGTAGCTACCAGGCCTACATTATGGAAACATCACTATATATACTATATCCCAAGTGGAGTAGTGACAATCATTTGTCAAACGTTACCCACTATCTAGAGATAGTCATCTCATCCATATTTCGTCGTACACATTGAAATTCAAAGGAGCAGTAAACGAATATATTTCCGAGATATGCTAATAGTGTACATTCAAAATCTGGAAACTTCATTGACAACAATGTATTGGTATCAACTCACGTAAGCTGACGCAGTATATTATCAGGCCACGACGCTGTCCTATATGTAAACCTTTGTAAAAATAAACAGTAAGACGCAATAAGCATCTTCGTGTTAATGTAAAGCACCTATATACAATACAAAAGATAAGTAAAACACGCGCATTACGTATTCAATGAGTACTTACTCTTTGTGTGGTATAGCTTCCACGTGCCGTCCTTAGATATAGTGGCGATATGCGAGGTGTCCACATCGAATGCCACGTCATATATACCCGACGTGTGTCCGGTCAATTCGAAAGCCTTCGTCACCTGTTTGAATTCGCCCGATTTTGTAAAACACACTTCCATTAGTTTCACGTCGGGTGCAAAACCAGTAGCCACAACGAAACGTCCACATGGCGATATTTTGGCGGTGTAAGTATTCATTAAGTATGTATCAAGTTTCTCTAGCTGTTGCCCTTTAAGATCCCATATAACCATGTCAGTCTTCGATGAGCAAGACATCATGAACTTCCCGTTGCTCGATATGCCGAAACCGATGACATCGTCTGTATGCACCTGGAAACAACAATACTTTAAATAAAATATATTTACAGATCTAGTTTAGAGACAATGTTTGGACAATATGTCTAATGATAATCTGTGTTCATCTTTGTTTCCATTTCTTATGAGTTTGTTGACCCGTAAGATAACACACCGAACGCATCATATTTAAACTAATATTTCTTAAGAACAAAGTGATTAACCTCAAATCTCATAACACAACAATCTCGTACTGAATATTTAGTGTGATATAAACTTGATAGTCGTCGATGCATCATGTTTTATGTAAGCAGTGCTCGTGAGGAAAACGACCGGTGAACCTTCCTGCAGCTAAAAATATTTTCGAGGTTGTGCGTGCGACGATCCGAACGTATACTTAGGTACAGACGGCAATACAGTATTGCGTTAAGAATCAAGAAGTCGCCGACATCTTCATAAAAGGACAACGTTTATGAGAAGCACCAACTATTGTATGCGACTGTATCTCGCCAATACCTACGAATTGCATCAAAATTCCATTGTTCCACAGGAAGGTCTTTTTAATCATCTGCCCGTATCCATACAAAAACACACACATATATATATGTGTGTGTTTTTGTATGGAATATATATATATATATATATATATATATATATATATATATATATAATATAAATTATATGCCTATACTACTTCATGGTTTTGTATGTTTATTATTCTTAACATATATAATCTACCTACCAGGCACTATATTATTCAGGAATTCCAAAGTAATTATATATGTAAAATGCATATTTATTTTTTATGCATGTTTATTTTTTACTACATATTATCATGAACTGGAAAAAAACCTCAAAAGAAACATTTTCTATGGAGATTATTTTTTTTAAAGATTTTTTTATTGTATTGATAGATTAATCTTTTTGCTTAGCTTCATGAAATTTTCTATAAGCCTTTTTTTTATACAACTTAGAATGGCAAACAAGCTGACGGCCCACCTGATGAAAAGTGGTAACCGTCGCCTATAGACATGAGCAGTACCATGGACATAACAGAGTATACTGTTTCGCCCAAGATGCTCCCCATGCGTTGCCATTCCTGAGGACTCAGGTGTTATTCCTCTGTACCCTGTAAATTCACGCCATATTCCACCCTTCAAACCAAAACACAGCCGTACAAACACAACTGCTTTACGGTAGAAACACGAATGGGACAGTGGTATCCAAGCAATCGACTTTTGTACAAAGTCTCCCTCTGCCTTTTCTTTAGAAGTACTATTTCATATAAGGAACCTCCGTGTAAAATATGTATGGACCGATACTTTTTCTGTATATTGATCTCCATATACGCTTGCCTGCCAACGTGACCAGCGTCACATCTTATTTCGATCAATATAGACTTTTTTTTCAATTCACAGAGTTACCAAATGGAATAAAATTATTAGAGTATGTTGAGATGAACGATACGAGCAACATTATTCAACATAATGTAAGTGTGTGAGTATGTGAAGGTATGTGAAAAAAATAGAAAATTCTATAATGTTATTACATAATATTTCCCGAAACAAATTTCGACTACTGTTAAGTAAACATGACTATATGTTTACATTTGTATATAAAATAGAAATCTATATAGTCAATGTTACTTTGAAATCAAACTGGCCAGAAGCTTATAATAAGCATTAAAATTTTACATTTAATATGGGAATCCGCTATATTTTTTTGTTCACGTCAATAAGAATGTACCTATTGCTAAAAAGTATTCAGCACATGTCAAACCGTTTTCTATAATGGTGGGAATATTTCTATATTGAAACACGAGAGCTCATTACAATCAGCGAAATCTTGTGACTGAGCCTACACTTACAGTTCTCGTATACCTACAGTTTACAACAATGATATGATATTACACACAAAAACATCCACACAATACAAGAAAAATAATGCACTAACGGGCTTGAACTGTGTATAAATTGAGTGACGAACAATAGTTATTATTTAAGAAATTTGTATAATTATTGTCAAGGTTCATTGCCAAAAACACAAGGTTGGACAATTTTAATAAACACAGTTTCAAAAACTTCTCAATAGTACGAACGACATTGGTATATTTAGCAAATAGGACGACAAAAACAAAACAGGTCCTTGTTTTTCTGTGTTAATTAATAGAATTTTTAATTTAAACATTTTTTTTATGATAGCAATTATAAATGAGATTAGGTGCTCCTATTTTGCTAGAATATATCAATCAACAGGGGCCTGTTTAGAAGATAAAAATCATATTTAAATATTTGACTAGGTACTTAAATAGCTAGTTTCATAAACTATTTTCTATTCGGAAGTATAATATGGGTTCTGAGCAACGTGTTTATATGTTACTACTAATCACACTTAAACGGCTGTACAGATTTTAATCAAATTTGGTACAAATAGCATAATACCCAAGGCATAAGTAGGCAAACAAAGTATAAGACGACCCCCTACTAAATGGAGCGGAAATGCATCGTAGGAAGTCAGTGGAGGCAGTTGCCTTGGAACCATTCAGTCTATGAGGGATATGTCTGATATGATGATAATCACCAGGGCCTACCTACCACCTACTTCACGTACTCTATACCTAAGTAAAGCCGCATTATATAATTAGGCATGAATATAACTTCGAATTGCCCATTCATTCTCTAAGTAATTTTGTTCTCTAGTAAAAAAGATGAGTCAATCGTTGTTGCATTCAACCATATGTAGAATGACCTTTGGTTAAATTGATTCTTAGATTATACAATATATAGACTAGAAATATAAGAGAGAAAACATATATGTTAGAGCGAAATAGATAAGCACAGGACACTCGCCTACACAACATAAGCTCGAAACTGATTTGGCAAGAGTACGATTTTTTTTTAATATTTTAAAGGGTAATTAGTTTTAAGTCAATGCAATTAGTTATAATTAAGAGTGCTATACCTGGATACAACATAAATTAAAAAATAGGACCACAAAACTGCACATATTCAAGTAATTACGCTTATAACATTTATTTCTTTAAATGCTATATTATATAGAACAGTCAAAAGTATTTTGTCGAGAATTGGTGAAAAAATATCAAATTTAACTCAAATAATTCTGAATGTCTACGAATTGAAATTAAATTTATAAAGAATACGCGAATTTTTACTATTTTTGCAATTTCATTTTCATATGAATTTAGAACTATCTTGTGCACACATTTACAAAATACGCACACTAGTGTAACTACTCGTACTTTCTTGTTGTCTCGTTTTTATGACAACATAGCTCGTCTATCAATACGTAGTACGTTATACTACGTCTATGTAAGAATTAGATTATATATTTCAACTATTATAAGATGTAAGAATTAGATTATATATTTCAAATATTATACTTATACAATTTTCAAGCAAAATATTATCATTAATTTATTATTAGTAGCAATAATGTCGACGTTAATTTAATTTTAATAGCAAAATTTTTGGTTTATAATGTAGTATTACTGCTTAATTACATACAAGTTTTTAACTTCTAGATTCTTTTATTAAACATAGCCGTCGAAGATTATGTAAGTGAGTCTTGGCCCCGTTTTCTTATTGTCACAAGCGAGTATAGAATCACAGTTTAACGTGACTTATAACGCAAGCGTTTATGTGCGGTTAAAGACTATTTTATGAACGCTTTGTGTAACCTACTTACGAGTACGATTTCAGATTAAGCTAATGACGTCATGAACAAATATTAACATGTCCCCGCAAAGGACATGACAATCTTTGTTTTATACTTAATGTACGTGATGATCGCAATAATTTCAAAAGTGTAGTTGGTTTCAATAATTTGTTACGGTAGTCAGATGTCACGTTCCAATGTTAGTGTTTATGTCTAATGATATAACAAGATTCGCTTACGTTGTAATTTATAATAAATAAATGTTATACGCTTATTAAATGCTACTATTTTCGGTAATATTATATTTTATACTAGGTTTTTGCCCGCTACTTCGTACGCATAGATTTCAAAAGTAAGAAAACTAATAAAATAGACTACTTCTAGATAGTGTAGCAAGTTAAAACATATATGTACCAGATTTTAAATTTAACTTTTAAGAACAAAGCTGTGAAAATCATATCAAATTTTTGCGTGATGCCGGAAACTACATAAAAAAATACAAACAGAAAAAAATCTTTAAATTATTGTATTGACGTCTATTAAAAGCCCTAATTTTTGTTTTTTTTTTTTATTGCTTAGGTAGAATGATAGTCTAGTTATAATTTTATTATATTATTATAGTATGATAAGATGTAGTAAGTAGAGTAGGTGCCTCTACATTTTGGTAAATAAAATCCAATAAGAGGTCGTGACAGACCACCTATTGTATGGAGCGATGAAGTTGTTTGATTATACAAAAACAGGTAAGACTTAAATACCATGGGTGTGGAACTAATTCGGACGGGGCCCTTGACCAACACTGAAATACTACAGGCCATGAATGAACGAGGTATACAATTTTCGGGTAAATTCACTTTCTTCTCTCAATTTCCCTATTCCATATTCCCTACAGGTAAACAAATAACATGACATCCATTTTACATAGATCACTTTCGTGCTACTTCACGATCGCCCATCTAAGGAATGATCGCAATCAACTCCACTTGACCTCATTGATCAATATTTAACAGAACTATTTAATTATAAGTAAGTAACATAGCGTAACACTAAAAGACAGAGTGATAAATAGTGTGGCTAAGGGAGAAGCGTAGATTTATAAATGACGTAGTGAAAAAGATGTGAAATTGTTTTCGCCATTAAAATCTAGAGGGATCCAATATATAGATATCGCAGTGGTACCGAAATTACTCATGCCTATTCCATTGTTTCTGTCTACACCAATGAAAAGCAGGCGTGACATACATATGTGTTGTTTTATAGTAAGTAGCTCAATTATCAGGGTTGCAAGATTAGCACAAACCACACTACACTCATAATACGAACTCTTGGGTAAGTCATTGATTAATTCGCAATAAACAAAT